CGATTCACCACTACATTTCACTATAGTCACTACCGCGCTATTCACTCGCTGCAAGTGCAACTAATCAACTGGTAGAATATACATAGATACTCAGTGACTCTTTGGCGCCGCACCTCACTTTCACCAGCTGCCGGTAAAAAGACAACTAAGTTGATCAATGAAAATAGCATCACACAAAAAACCAATGACCGGGATTTTCATCTATTTTATATTATTTAATATAATTAATAATTATTAGTGTCGATAATCGATATCACACACATCACATCGTTTTTTTTATTTATAAAAATATTCAAAAAAAATGTGGTCTTTAATTATTGAACTTTAAGTTTATAGAAATATATTTATAACATATTATTAAAAAATGTCTTCTTTCTATTTTCTTATGAAAATGTCTTATTTTCTAATAGTTTATAAATAAGGTCATTTTTGTAAATATCGCACAATTTACGTACACGTGATTCTAATATTTTATCCACCACCGTCACAACCACCACTTACAAAAGCATATAAAGAACTAAAGAGTAAAGTCTAAACTGCCAAATCAGTAACAGTTTATCATTTCTATTTTGCTCAAACATTTGTAGAGCTGTAGCAAACCGTATGTATTCGTTACTGAGTAACGGGTACGCCATCTAGTACCGAGTACCGAAACGTTACTCACGAATGCATTTCGTTACTCGCATTTTCCGTACATATTTTCGTACTAATGTTTTTATTGACTTTTTATTCAGCAAAATACAACTTTCAGTTAATACTTAAAACCATTGATGAGTAAATTAGAGAGTTTATTTATTTATTTCGAGTTGCATGATTTCCAGATCTTAGAAATTTTGTTTAGAAACAATTTTCAATTAGAAACAACCATTATATTTAGAACACATTTTTAGTTTTTTATCCAACAAATACTTATAATGTTTACTAAATGATTATGTCAAATGAAATCAAAATATATTTTATTCAAATAAACTTTTACAAGCTCTTTTAAATCGTCAATTTTACATTTTAAATTAAAATTAAATGTTAGTCCGTTAGGAACTACCGCCGGCTCGGAATAAAGTTTTCTGCTGAGAAGAACCGGCGAGAAACTCTTTTAAAATAATAATTGTGTACAATATTGTAATACAATAATTATCTATTTATCCTACGTGAGACATGATCATGTGATTATGTGTAATACATACAGATTATGATTTGATAAATCATTCACGCAATTGATTTTAAATAAAATATGCATTACGACGTCACACTAACGTGATAGATGTCATTACTTATTCATTTTTAAATTACCTATTTTTATATTTATTATTTAATTTCAAAAATTATTAATAAAAAAATATTGTTAGTAAAGTTTTTAAAAATTATATAGATTTATAAATAATCAAAATTTACGGGTTCTGGATATCATGTAACTCTCCAATTGAAATGGTTTGTTGATCGTGCATTATTCCACAGAAAACAACGCGACGTCAACGATATACGGTATATCGTATAATTTATACCGTACGCAATACATACGCAACACGACTCGATACGATGCTCTACGAGTATGTTATCGGGTATCAAAAGTAACGAGTAACGATTCAAAAGTAACGAGTACTGATGCTATAGTAACGAATGCATACGGGTACGCTATTTGTCGTTACTTTTACACCTTGAAACATTTGTGAACTTCGGCCAAAACATGATGTTTGAAAGAAATAGTACTATGTATTGGCATCTCTTTTCACCGATATTGACCCGACTCTGTCGTTTTTGTTATTAATGCGCGCGCAAATCAGTGTATTATTATATTATGCCATATTTAACACTTTACTTTTAGAGTTGAGAGTTTTAAAGTAAGTACAAAATTAAACATATATATTTATTTACATAAAGCAATAAATATTTATATAATATTTGTTTCCGGATTTATACCACGACACCACCCGCGCTAAAAGTGATAAATTTCGGTCGTGTAAGTTTTCTTAAGCAGCGCCATCTCTTAAGAATTTAGAACTAAAGTTTTGTAAGAATAATATTAGAACATCTAGCTTGTACGAGTTACTTTTGTCATAGTGACAAAAAAATTAAATGTGGCACTCGGAGACTACCGCGGTAAAGCTATTGCATAGCATTTTTTATCAACTTATGCAATTATAATTATTTATTTATTTTATTAGTATTTCACGCCATCTAGTTCCATGGTAAGCTACGAGGCCTGTGTTATGGATACCAGATAGTTGATACACTACACATATATAACTTTAAATACATACATATTATAAATATAAACACCCATGACTGGAGTACAAACATTCGACAACACACAAATGAATGCCCCCAGCGGGACTCGAACCCGCGACCGCTGGCACAGAAAATAGGGTCACTACAAACTGAGCCAAGCGTGTCGTCAAACGTGACTTAAAACATAAATATCAAACTACTATTTTGTTTTGTTGCGCCATCTAGTGACCATATTCTTATAGCTGTGAATAAAAGTAGCGTAAGACAGCTAGTTCGTAGTTTTTATACAAGATGGCACTAGCTCATAAAAAAAAACTTTCTCACAAACAGCTGATTACGGTAGTTTTCCAATACAACCAATGCCACCTAAAGGGTTGCTGAACTAAAGAGACAAGCGTGATATTTCAAAAAGTCATTAAAAGTTCTGGTATTTATCGATAGATGGAAGTATCACCGCTGTGCCGGTCGGAGTGGGGGGTGTCAGGTTTTTTTCGTTACGGAATTTCTGGATTCGGTCCCCACGCTCAAGGCCCGCGATAGAAGTTATGCAATAGCTTAAAAAACTGTCCCTGTCACGTCATGTCATCAAAGTGGAATGCACGTACTGAGAGTGATGAACAGAGGAGAGTCACGAAACTTTTTTCAAATGCAAGCGTCATAAGTTGACATAGATTTGGACGAGACGAATGACGGTCATTACCTTCGAACTCATGTTATGTAACAGAAAATATCGTAAGAAATGATGGGTGTAACAAATATTATTTTATAGATTTCTTCCTCAGACCAATAAAAAAGTATAGACAGAGCATTGCGCACAAAAAGTGATGCAGGTAATATGAAGACGATTCAGCCATATGAAGACGGCCGCTCGGTAGTCGGCCGCGAGCGAGTGAGAGCGCGTGACCTGCTTTTGGTAAAATAATAATTGCGTAATTAAGCCGTCCTGTGTCATAAACTGTTGCAAAAACAATTCATGTTTTCGAAAAAAGTTTTCTGGGATAACTTTTAATAAGTAAGTAACTGATTTTCTGTATAATTTAAACAAAATCGCAAAAATATTTAACATAATTCCCCGAACACGAATTCTTGATGCCATTGTGTCAATGTTGCAAGTTAAGAACATTATGTTTTCCCAAAAGTAAGGGAAGTTGTGATATTTGTACACGTTACAATTTTTTTTTTTAAATCTTATTATTATATTTTAGTTTTCGAGTATATAAGGTATATTATTAAACGTCTAAATGATTTCGAACTAGAATCAGTATTTGACACTCCCAAAAGAAATAAACTCAGACAACAAGCTAGAAAGTATAAATTACGTTATCAAATTTGTGCACGCAAAATCAAAACACTTAATCACAAGGTTAAAGGCCTTAAAAAAACGCGTCAAATTAGTTATAATTATTCTAATACATATATGTAAGTTTTGTGTGTACCTATTGTTAAATTATTAATTATTTTTATTTAAGAATAATGATTCATTATACTAATTTACCTTTCATTTCATGTAACCAAGGCAAATAAAAACTATACTACCTATATTAAAACTTTTCATCAAAGTATATCTCTCGCACTTGGGAGTCGTAAGCACAACGCTTGCAACATTTTTCTCTAGCACACATGCGCAAATCTACGCTATCTTACACAGAGTTACGTACACAAAGCCAAAACTTTGCATCACTTATTTCGTCGCGTTTGTTTACAACGGCTCCGTCTATACTTTTTTATAGGTCTGAGAATTCTACCTATTCTTTATTTTTCCAATATATTTTTTTACGAAAAAGGGCGAGTGCCCGACTGACGAAGCCCGAGGGTTCTGTGTTTGACGTGTAGGTATGTATGTACGATGCTTTCTCTGGTAGTTTTCCAATGGGGAAGAATATTGCCTTTTTCTCCCGCCAGATGTCACGATCACTATGGCCCTCAGTATATTGTAGCGCGTATTGAAGGGCGCTACTCGTATCGCCTATTGACATTCTAAGTCTAAAGTTAAGTAATTTATTGTTTATTGTACATACCTGGGAATTAGACCAGCGGAAGAATTGAGAAGGAGAGATGCATCCTGCGGTTGTCCTGACTAACTGATGGATCAACACGCAGCCTAAGCCGCTGGTCGCAGAAAGGTGAAATTTGGAGGACATATTCCTTATACGATATAGGCATTCGATAAAAAAGAATTTTTTGAAATTCATCCCTTAAGGGAGTAAAAGAGGGTAATAAAGTTTATATGGGCAAAGAATTATTTATGATCAGAATTAATTGAAACTTGGTTTTAATGCTCTTCAATACAATTAATTAAATATAAAGATTGTAAATTCGCCAATTTTGGTCGTCTTATTGCTTAAGCCCACCATTTCTTCAGTTTTTGTCTTTTGGAAACAATGATATCTATTTTCTTTGCATTCACAATTTGTCATTTTAATTAATTTTTAATAAAATAAAAAATATCCACGCTATAGAGCTTTACAATATACTGAGGGCTATAGTGATCGCGGAGTCTGGCGGGAGAAAAAGGCAAAATTCTTCCCCATTGCTTAGCCTCAGACTAAATATAAATAGATCATACGTGTAGCACCCTTCTTTCAAGAAATATTCTCTACTGTAACATTATTATTACGTCACATTTAATAATATTGCACTTATTTTTCTTAGACCGTAACGTGAATACGCAGACTATGGGCTACTCTTGCAGACGTAAATCTGTAAATTGGCAGCTGTAAAAAGAAGTGTCAAATATTGAAATATCCGTAGAAATAGTTAGTCTATGGTGCAAGATGGCTCTAAAAGCACTTGTCGGGCAAAGTAAGTCAAATTTTAATTTAATTTTACAGAAATATACATAATTTTTTAGTAATATTCAAACTCTTTTCATGTAATAATTTGTTTCATTCGTAAATATTATATTAGTAAACCACTGGAAGCCACTATATGTTATAAAATCCTTATCGATGACTAATATTTTTATAAAATATTTATAAATAGTATGTTGCAATCGTTTTTGATAAAAAAGCTATGAAATATGTACTAATTTCTCATTCACGCTGATTTCTATAAGATTAAAACGTCACCTACCATTACACGATTCTATGATGTAAACATTCTCAGTAAAACAACAATAAAAATATTAATTTTGTATATTTAAAATAAAAGTTTTCGCTGGTTTTCATTGTATCATACACAATTTATAAATTTGTATCATAATCCTTTGTGTAATTTAAAACACCTACGTAGTTGACCTAGGTGTTTGTTATTGATTTTCTTATGTCACTTGGTAGTGGGGTGGGGATTGGGGGATGAATATACGTCATATAATGCAGCTCACGTCTCCCCTCTTTTGTAGAACATCATGGGAAAATCTTTTATATGTGGCTGACATGTGACAAATGCATTACCAATATTATGAACCAACTCTTTAAAGCCATTATTATGTCTTGTTACATCCAAGAATGTAGCAAAACAAACAAGCAGTATAAATAATAAATATTATGGAATCTTAAATTAGAAATTTTATTGCCCAGAAACATACAAAGTACATATTTCCAGCTTAATTGTTATACAAAATTTTGTGACACATTTAGTCCATTATCACTTTACTACACTTCAGACTTTTAGAAATCAGAATAAGAAGCTTAAAACGGATCTTTAGTTCTAACTTCTACCTATCCTAGCAAATAAAATTTAGCTATGTTTTTAATTTAAACATTATCTTTAAAAGTGTGTATATATATATATATATATATATATATATATATATATATATATATATATATATATATATATATATATGTATCTAGTATAAATCCTTTATATTTGAAACATATTTATTTATAGAGATTATGAATGAGGTGATCCGCTACCGCGGACCCAAAGGCAAAGAATCTCAGCGTATAGAATGGCGCATTCTCATTGTGGACCAGCTTTCTATGCGCATGGTTTCAGCATGCTGCAAAATGCACAATATTTCAGCAGAAGGAATCACTTGTAAGTAAGAATGAATCAATATGAAAAAATAATGTATTTTATTATATATTATATACTAGCGGCTCACCCTAGCTTCGCTTGGGTTCGTTCGTCTTTAGAAAAAAAAGAACAAATCTATCCCACGGAAACCGTAAATTTTTTCGAGATAAAAAATAGCCTATGTGCAATTCTGATGTATGAGCTATATTATTGTAAAAACATCTACACATCCATACATCCTAACAAACTTTCAAATTTATAATATTAGTAGCATATTTTTTTTCAACTGTTTTGACTGCAGTTTAATAATTATGTAATTGTGATGCAGTATCTTTTGGAGTGGATGCTCAAGTGTGTATTGATTATTCAAAGATTCAAGGTTGAGAGTAGGCTACAACAAAATGGTTTGATACATCTGAAAAATTTCTTTACATTATAGAACTTTCGAATAATATTAGCATGAAAACTTATTATAGACCAGGGTAGAAGCCTTTAAAAATAATAAAAAGTGAAAAAAAATAATAGTAGGATGCAACCCATTAGAAAAGAAGGGGAATATTATAAAAATGAAAGGAAAAATAATTTACGGGCGATCTGAGGTCGGGAAGGGGATGGGGGTGAGTTTTTAAGGGTAAAAACGGTTTTTCTAGATTTCCGGCAAAACTAAAAGTCCTATCGAAAAAAGTCAAATGGCAAAGTTGTAGGTAATAAAAAGATCTAAAACTTTTGTAGTTACACTTTTTTCACATAACCTCAAAATTTATGTGAAAAAGTAAAAAAACCAAGTTTTTTGTTTTTTATTTTTATCTTTTACAAAAAAAAAATTTACGAAATTTGGTGAAAATTTACCTTTTTATGTCCCAAATACGCTGTAATTTATTTGATTAAAAATATTTATTTTTTCACCTTATTTTGAATTAATATCGAAAAAGCACCCTAATTTTCAATCAAAAATTCACCCGTCAAAATATCAGCTTTTTTCAAAAAGTTGGTATGTTTTCTGTTCGTTGAAATCTCTACTTTCCGATGGTGAAAAAAAATATATGTTACTATAGTAAATCTTCTGAGAAAATGCAAAAAACAAAAAGCCTTTTTATTTCATACACTTGCTTATCATCTGCCTTATTGCAGATGATACAAACAGATTCAACCATACTGATAATCTGAAAAGACAAAATCGAATTAATAATGCCTTCACTATTTAATCGTGAGTATACCCCCACTCACGATAAAATAGTGAAGGCATTAATAATTCGATTAATATTTAACTACAATAATGATTGATAATAACTCAGAACATAGAATATTGTAACGAGCTTTGTGAAAAACATCGATAAGTGCGTGTATAAATGTGGTAAAATTATATAAAAAGTTGAAACTTGAAATTTTTTTTTTGACAAAACTATTTGTTTCCGCGGTCTCAAACTTTATATATAGGCTTCTAATAGAGAGATCTATTTGTGAAAAAAATATGAAGTTTCAACTCGATGTCATAGATTGTACAGTTGAGCCGTATATATTCAGCCCTTTTTTTTTTTAAGCCGTATATTCATAAGAATTTGTAAAAATGGGATGGATTTAAAGAGATAATTAATATTATATTTACTATGTCTAAAATAATTAAAGAAGTCCACCATTACTAGCAAGATACTAAAAAAAATGTAAACCATCAGTAAGAAAAAGAATAATTTTCTAAATTCATTTAAATAAAATAATTTTATCCTGCAGTTAATGTGCCATATTAATTTTTTTGATATTTCATATAGTTATCTTAATTTATTTTTTCTCATAGTGGTAGAAGACATCCACAAAAAGCGGGAGCCCCTGTACACAATGGATGGCATTTATCTCATCACTCCAACAGAGAAATCTGTGCATGCCCTTATCAATGATTTCTCTGTTGGAAACCGCATCATGTATAAGGCAGCACATGTTTTCTTCACTGAAGGTGAGATATTTTAAGTTATTTGCATTGAGACATTAAAAAGAACTGGTACAAAATTTATTTAAGATGAATTTATTTAAAAAAACATAATTTGGTGATATGTTAATCTATGTCATATGATATACGCAGATTTTTTGGAAGACATCTACACATTTTAACTATTTAATCTGTATGTATCCAGCAATCATAATAATTATAAATAAAAAATTTAAAAAACTCCCTATGCAAATTAATTGTTATTTAACGATTACACTGGCACGCGTGAAGCACTTAATCTAGTAATCATACGCCAAAATGCTTACATCATTTTGGAAAAGATACTTTTATACTGCTGAACCGATATTAACCAAACATAGCTAAGAACCACCACAAGGAAATTGGCTTTCAAATGAAAAAAAAACCGCATCGAAATCGGTCCATCCGTTTGAGAGCTACGATTCCACAGACAGACACATCAACTGTATCATAATACTTATTCAAAAGAAATATCAATAGTTATTATTTCACTATTCTATACTTTTCGTTCACTTTTATTTATAATTTCTAATTTTGACACATTTTTATCTGCTCACTTTTTCTTTATTATGTATGTAATTTATTTTAAATTAGGTCCACAGATCGTTTTTTCTATCATTATTTTAGTTTATTATATTTTAATTTACAGCATGTCCCGATCCGCTATTTGATGAATTATCACGTAGTCCAGTAGCTAAACATATCAAAACATTAAAGGAGATCAACATAGCTTTCATACCATATGAACAACAGGTTCGTCATTTATGTTGCTTATCCATCCCCACTAATCCAATCCAATTTAAAACTTCATTATAAAGGCTTAAAAAAGAAATTATTAGTCTTTACAATGATGCATGTCTTATTTATGATTGTTTAATATGTAATATTTTTGTGCACGCTGCTATGTAAAGTGTGCCCTGAGGAATTGTTCAATGAGTTGTGCAAGTCTTCAGCGGCTAGAAAGATCAAAACTTTAAAGGAAATCAACATTGCTTTCTTGCCATATGAGAGTCAGGTAATGTATTATATTTAGCTTTGTTATAAGGCACCAAAACGTGTTATATCTGTATTTAGACATAATATGTAAGGTTTACATTATTAAGTAGGTGATCGAACCTGCAATCTCTTGCTTTATTATGAGTCATGCAAAATAACATTTTATATTTAGTTGGTCCACAGTCAACGCAACATTACTTTAATTTTTAAATACTTAGACTATACATTCATTTTTATCAGCTCGATAGGTTTCCAGTTTTTTAAATTACTTTGTCACTTCCTCTATTGCCATAATAATAACAGTATGTGGTTTCACCTGCATTTGCTATTTAATTTATTTGGTCAAACAAAACACTTGACAGAAAATCTGTAAAGCCTTGAGAATGCATTAAAGTAAAATTTAAGCTATGCAAATTATAATTATTTATACATATTTATAAAATATGGCAATAATCAGGTTACTCTCTTTATTTAATTCTGACTGATACTGGAAATTCTTCTTCCTCATTCCTTCGATTAGGAACCCACTCACTTATGACTTTTATATAGTCTGATCGGCATGGAAAGTGGCGCCTACTGACTTAATCGCGTCCGACCACATAAGTGCCGTTACCGATATTAGAAATAATGGCATGAAATAAAAAACTCTTGCTCTTACTAACATCAGTAATAGTATATTATTTGTTGAATAACGTTTTGTTTCATATATCGCAGGTGTTCTCCCTGGACTCGCCAGACACGTTCCAGTGCATGTACAACCCGGCGCTGACGCAGACCCGCAATGCCAATATGGAGCGCATCGCTGAACAGATCGCCACTCTCTGCGCTACTCTTGGAGAATATCCCTCTGTTCGTTATCGCAGGTAAGGGTACCATAACCTAAAGGCAAAATTAACTTACGAAAAAAAAATCAGCTGAATTGGTCGAGCAGCCTGTTCTCGAGTTTCGCGCTTAGCAACATTCATCGTTTCGCTCGGGTACATCCCTGGTTTGCTTTCCCGTACAAGCTTTCATCCCCAGTCTCACCCCCTTAACGGATGATTTCTGGAATAAAAACTATTTCACTCACACACTTTTCATATCATGAGATTTAAAAAAATCTTATTTTAATAAAAAAAAAAATTTTTTAATTTTCTTCTATTCTATACAAAGCTTATCCTGACAATAAAAAACACAAAAAAAAAAGATTTATCCAATTTGGTACAGTCATTACACATACATTTCGGTGATTCATTTTCATTTATATAGATAAATAAACTTATACAATATACATGTTTGTTTTAATTTGTTCATATTTTAATTACTTTAAAATGAATTACAGCGATTGGGAGCGCAATGTGGAGCTCGCCCAGCTTATACAGCAGAAACTTGACGCTTATAAGGTATTGTTAATTAAAAGATTTATTTAATTTAAATGTATTTTTTTTGTGCATTACGCGATAGTTTTTCTGACCCAATTTTCATATTTCTTTTTTTAATATGTAATTTAATCCATCAAAAATAAGGGATTTAAAATCTTTTTTTAGTAAAAAGTTATTTATAAAAAAAAGTATTGTTTAGGATATCTACTACATACCTATAGGTAAAATATACTTTGTGATGTTCTAACTTTTTTTAAACAAATCTTTTTAAAGCTAAAAGCTTGTTAAGAACGAAGAAAGAGCTCATAAAGCTACTAGTGATGTACCCTTGCATTGCTCGGGTGCGTGATGTGTTATATTATACTAAACTTAACACTTACACACACACACATATACACATACATACATTCTAATTTATAATTATTATATTCAAATAATGCTTAGTTAATAAAAATAGCAATCATTCCCTACACTAGGCAGATGAGCCGACAATGGGTGAGGGTCCGGAGAAGGCACGCTCGCAGCTGCTAGTACTGGACCGCGGCTTCGACTGTGTGTCGCCGCTGCTGCACGAGCTCACGCTGCAGGCCATGGCGTACGACCTGCTGCCCATCGAGAATGATGTGTACAGGTGTGTGTTATGTGTATGTTGCTTGTTTTAATCAAGGCTCAAAAACCCCTTCAATTTTTAAACCGGTTTTGGTCATTGATTTTTCGGTTTAAGGTTTCGGATATGACTGTTAACTGTTTAACCGATTAAAATTCCGAAATCAAATTTTGTCGAAAGTTCCATGATCGAAAATTAACCGGTCAAAATGAGTTTTTGTGTGAATCATTTGCTAATGATAATTATTATTTTGGCTTAATAAACTGTTCGTTGTTATTAACCGGTAAATGAATGAGTGATAAATTAACCAGTACATTACCAAAATCAACTATTTTTTTAAACAGGTTCCAAGCTTTTAAGCTTAAGACCAAGGCTTAGTCCAATCATAAAATATGAGTAGGAAATTTTCTTTTGAAGATGTTTTTCTAAATTATGTTTCTTTTATCGTGTTCTTTTAATGAAGTATTACGAATTACTCTAAAAAGCGTAAAAAAGCCAAACTAAAAACTTATACAATATACTGTCTTTACAAGATATGAAGCGACCCAAGGCAACATGAAAGAAGTACTGCTGGACGAGAACGACGAGCTGTGGGTGGAGCTGCGCCACCAGCACATCGCTGTGGTGTCCACCTCGGTTACCAAGAACCTGAAAAAGTTCACAGAGTCCAAGCGTATGGGAGGAGGTGGGTGTTGTTAAAGTATTATAATTTGTTCTAATTTCTGCCATTTTGCATTATTCTATAGGGGGATTCCAACATAGTTTTAACCATAAAATACTTATTATATATTGCTTAAAAACTTATAAGTTTACTTTACAGCGATTTTGAATAAACATCAGAATATATTTTACTTTTTCATAGTCTATTTATTTTTTATTTTATAACTATTTCGGTCCTAAAAGACGTAACAAAATGTTGATAGCGGGCGGATATACAAAAGTTAGGTAACTTTTTAGGATATTTTGTTTATGATAGTTTTTAAATCAAATTCCTACGAATTCTGATTATAAGATAGCTAATCTAATGAAAATATTGCTCATGATAGGGCCAGTCACTTTTTAAAGTAGATGCGGAAGGTATTTCGATTTTTCCGAATTCCGAAACCAGGGGACTGACGTGAGTGACAAAGTACTGATGAAATACACAATTTCATAAGATATGCAAGAAATTTATTAAAATTTAGAAGAAATCTCTTAGGAACTAATAATGGCACACATTTTGAGTCTCACTTTTAATCTTAATTCACTTAAGTAACAATTAAAAAAATATTTTTTACGTAATACTGTGAGAAGCAACTTTCTCCACCTTTGAAGCAGCTTTTTATGAACTTAACTTTACTACTTTGAGGTAGTTTAGCTTAACAATATAGGTACATTTTCTAAGTAATCAACAAACAATTGAAATAAAAATATAACTCTCTCTGCCTTAAAGGTACCAATTAACATAATAACAGTTTGAAGTAATATTATATCAGTCTTCAAAACAACCTTCTGACTTGTATAATATCGTTATGTTGCTTAAAAATAACAATCTATGCCATATAGGCAAGTAATAAAAATGAGATCTTTTTGTCAACAAAATCAAAATCGAATTAGAGTTGTTTTTTTTTTTGCCTGTACTTTAATAAATATTTTTTCCATTCTTTTCTTGTCGATCGTTGCTCCCGTGGCGTCATGTCCTTAATATATTTTTTGTCCCTTTCTTTTTCAAACATTGCAACCTTTTTTTCTTTTTATATTCAGCTAATTTAATTCTCCTCTTTATTTTCTGTTTCAATATTTCATCTCTATCTTTAGACATATTTTGTTTGTTTTTATGGAGCCATGATGTTATAAACTGAAATAATTAAAAAAAAAAATTAAACACGCCCAACAAGTTAGTACCCTGGAAACACGTCTGTCCTTTGGCGCAATATCAGACAACGGACTGACGCCAACGGACTGACGAAACAAACATGAATTTGAGGTTATCTTTAGAACCAACGTTTATTTTGATATTTTCGAATATCAATAAGTTACATTTTAACAAATCAAAGTTAAGTATGTTTAAATTAAAATATAACACAAATTTACAAAAAAATTGCGACTCACCATAGGACTGACATTTTGTCTGGGTCGGCACGACAAACACAACTCTAGCACCGGCACAGAAATGACGGCCGAACAATGGCGCGGTCTGCAGCTAACTTTATTAACAACCTTAACGGATTTGGATTTAAGTCGCCGGTATTTAGCGAGATATTCAAATTCGAACAACACACAACGGACTGACGAATAAAACTGAACACAAAGTTTCTTATTATTTTTACAACAAAGTTGAAAATATTATAATATAAAGTTGTGATCATATATTACTAAATACATCACAGATCATAGTGAAATAATAAATTTTATTATATTAAAGGTAGTATTTAATACACAGCTATTTGATTGCGCGCTTTTGACGTTGTGACACGCCAAAGTACGTTTTGAAGATATATTGTGAAGTTTCACAAATTTGTATTTATAATGGATGGCTGAAATTGGGTGACCAAATAAATGGCTTTTAATTGTTTTAGAATTAATTATAAATTATAAACAAAATGTAATAATACATCATTTTATTGACTGGTGACATCGAGTTACCCATTTTTTGTAGAATCACCCTAGCCTATAACCTTCCTTAAGAATTGAGTTAACAAATTCAAAAAAGATTATTTAAATATGATTTGGTAGTTCAGAAAGTTTGTAACATCAAAATAACATCTTTTTACTATAAAAAAAATTGAATTTTTCACTCAATTTTTGTTTGTTCCGGCTGGACTGATTCTGACGGGACTTTCACTGGCAAAGAGCTGATGTTATAAGGAGTAACTTAGGCTACTTTTATTTTAGAAAAAGAATTAAGGTTCCGCTCAAAAAAATTAAAACATACTCAAGGACGCATCCGAGCGAAGCGAGCGTAAGTCGCTAGTATGATGAACTAATTTTGTTACACAATAATTGTTATTGGATTAAAAAGTATACTATATTGGTATCCATTTTGTTATTTCGAATTAAATAAATTATACAGGTGACAAGCAATCTATGCGTGACCTCTCCCAAATGATCAAGAAAATGCCGCAGTATCAGAAGGAGCTGTCGAAGTACGCGACGCACCTGCGCCTTGCCGAGGACTGCATGAAGGCCTACCAGGGATATGTCGACAAGCTGTGCAAAGTTGAACAGGTAACAACGATATTTGTATTTAATACTATTTATTTAATATATATACTGTTTATTTAATATATATAAACTTGCTTCTCTTTCAATCTAAATTCAAAATCGATAATGACAATTAGTCTTGGCTTTTGATAATAATATTGTGTATAATTAATTTAACAGGGAAAATTCAAAGAATTAAGCTATTACTTTAGACATTTATAGATATGGTTTTGATAGGATCTTGCTATGGGCACTGATGCTGAGGGTGAAAAAATCAAAGATCATATGAGGAGCATTGTGCCAGTGCTTCTGGATCAAGTAAGTGGTTGTTTCTAATATTGAAATAAAAATGAGTAATTCTTTTGTTAATATAGCTAATTAATAAACTTAAACGGGTATATAAAATAAATTACAGCGGGTTATGGTTAAGGGTATATAAATAATTAGTAATACAAAAAAAGCAGTAGTAACTCTGGTATTTTCATGTGCGAATCATTTCCAACATGATTACCACTTGTCTTATGGTGAAAGAAAACATCGTGAGGAAATCTGCATGTCTGAGAACCTAGCCAGTTTTCGAAAGACATGTGAAGTCCACCACCTCGCACTTGGTCTGCGTGGTAGATTATAGGATTGATCTTCTCGTATTGAAAGGGGTCCCGTGCCCAATAGTGGCACGTTAAAAGGAGCTCAATGCTATACAAAAAAATAATTTAATTTGAATCAATTTTTTTTTAAACACGCTTAAAATGGAATCTTATTATAGTAACATAGTAATACATTACAGACTTATCTAAATTTTAATATTTAATATTAATCCTTCAGTCAATCAAGAACTACGACAAGATGCGTATAATCGCTCTATACATCATGTCCAAGAACGGCATCTCCGAAGAGAACCTCAACAAGCTGGTGACGCACGCGCAGCTCGAGCTGTCCGACAAGCAGGCGCTGCTCAACCTCGCCAACCTCGGCCTTAATGTGGTCATCGATGTAAATGGAACTGTTACACTTATTAATTTATATTTCTGGAATGTTCTGTGGATTTCTTACTTGTTTGATAGATGATAATATAACACGCGGCTCTAGGGGTCTTTTTATTGCTTTCCTTGCTCTATTTTGTGACAGCGCCTGCCAACAAAGCAACTCAACTGCCAATTTTCTTTTTTTCCCGATTTCAATGAAAGTTATTTTATTTTTGACAGTAAACCCAGTTTTTTATCAGAATAAAAAACAGCCTGTAGCACTTTGCGGTAGTGTAGTTTCTTAGTAGTGAAAGAATTTTCTGAATAGGATCAGTAATTTCAGAGATTACCCTTTACATACAAACATAAACTTAATACCTATTTATAATATTATTATTATTAATATAGATAAAACCACACAAGATATTTAAAGCAATATCTAAACAGGAATATTTATAAAAATATACCTATCTATTTTAAATTTGACTGTGTGGGTACAATTTGGCAAATTTAAATGTTATAAAAAAACTGTTATATATAATATAATAAAATGAATATGAGATGCTGTTTGATGTTAAACACATCACTTAAGAACGGCTGCGCCGATTTTGAGGCCTAAAACTGAAAGGCTTTTTCTGTAATAAGATTTACATTAGAAATAAATTTATTTTGACATAAAAACGTCCATCGTATAAAATATTATTGAAACTGAGAGGGTTAAATTAGTTTACATGACTTTGTTTGAAACAGGGAAACAGGAAGAAGCAATACCAAGTGCCGCGTAAAGAGCGTATCACCGAACAGACGTACCAGATGTCGCGATGGACCCCAGTTATTAAGGTAAAACTTAATTATTATAATTTTATCTTCTGAATCTTTTTTTTTATTCCTCTGATCTGATCTGAATATTATTTTTTTTACAATTTTTTACTGAACGTCATGAGTCTACTATATATATTAATTATTAATAAGACAAATTACTTAATATTGCTTAAGATGTCATTGGAGAAATATACGTTGGTGGTTGTTAGAAGTAATAAATATTCGTAGATGGATTGCCGAATCAGCTATTTTACAAAACCGCTAGTGGTTTTAATAGCTCTTATGTAAAACAACTGAATGACATTTAGCTGGTTACCATTGCGCTAGAAGTTTTTGATAGTAGAGGTTCTGGGTTTAAAATAAAATCTGCTACACATTCTTATATAGAGTAGTGGTATATAAACGGATTATTAAAAAAAATAAACAGCCATTCATCATCATCTCTCTGCCCATTTCCCAATCACTTGGGGTCGGCGCAGTACATCTTCCGTACTGCTGATACGATTTAGCAAAAGTTTTACAACCGGCCGCCTGCATGACATCATCCCTTCTTTTGAATGCTTATCGAGGAAGTCTAATGTGCACATTCAATATAATTTTCTTTTAAAACATTTTTTATATTATTACACAAATTTTTAATGTAATTTTTGTGATATATTTTAAAATAAATTTTGTTATTTTTTGTAAGGATATCATGGAAGACGCGATCGATGACAAGCTGGACCAACGACACTTCCCCTTCCTCGCCGGTCGCGCTCAGACCTCTGGGTACCAAGCACCCACCAGGTAATGAATATTTTATAAAATTATAGCTACATAAAACAGCCATAATCTTTATATGAACCTTAAAATCCACATACAATCTTCAATGGTTCATTTATGTATATATTCAGTACAAAAAGCAGTTTGTCTACACATTTTAGAGGCTACTATTATTCCTTCTGGTGGTAAAACTCTTTTCAAATAATTATTCATCATTCTATATTTTCAGCGTACGCTATGGACACTGGCATAAAGATAAGGCGCAACAAACTATTAAGAATGTGCCCCGTTTGATCGTTTTCATCGTAGGAGGTGAGTACTAATTATTAAAAGTATAATAATTTTAAATGAAAATCATTTGCATATTATATCATTTTAAATACTAGTGAATCAAAAATGTGATTTTATGACTGTATCTCTCGCTCATATATACAGCTCTCATAATTAATAATAATAATAATAAAACTCTTTATTGTACACACAAAACAAGAAAAAAACAATACAGTGGTAAGAAAATGCACAAGAGGCAGCCTTATCGCTAAACCAGCGATGTAATTTTGCATATTTATTAAAAATATATTTCAGAAATATGTTTTTATTGATAAATTTATTTTAGGTGTGTGCTTCTCTGAGATTCGTTGCGCCTACGAAGTGACTGCTGCATTGAAGAACTGGGAAGTTATCATTGGCTCCTCTCACATCTCCACTCCGGACAGCTTCCTCTCCGATCTCAGCTCTCTTACTGCTTAAACTTTCTCATTATTGTTACATCGTTAGTTTTGCAAACAGCCCCTGTTGATTGTAGGCTGGTTTTTACTATATCTCAACATTACATTTGGCAAGTCCCTGTAACTTAACGTGTTGTTAAAGATTAGAAAGTAAAGAAAACGAGCGATTTATTTAAAAAAATCTTTACTTTAAGCTATATTGCGTTGCCTAAGCCTTATTTGCTAACCAAAAATATCTATTAAGTACAAAATAGTAAGAAATAAATAACTTACATTTTTAACCGATTTCTAAAACGGAGGAGGTCCTAAAACAATGTGATTCGTTCACAATGCTTTTTTGTTAATATAAATATTTCTATTGTATGGTATCTTACCACAGTACATGTGTTATTGTTGCAATGAATTGTTATAATTAGAAATTGATTTTTATATATGCTGTTCCGTTTCTTTTATTCCTTTTTTTATGAAATGCCAGTATAATAAAATAAAGGCATTATCTTTAGAATTTTTTTAAAGTTATTATCTAGTCAGGATGATGTATGAACAACAGTTGAATTTTTAAAATTTTTAATATTTACATTACTTGTACATGGTATCTATTTATAACAATTCAAAGTTATGTTTGCAATAATTTAAATCAGAATTTATATTGTTAATATTTTTGAAGTTACTACTGAATAACTTGGAATTATATTTAATGTAGATGTGACTTTTAGTTATTCTATTTCTAGGTTAGAATTATTGTTTAGTATTTTCATACTAATTTTATTAATAATTTATTTTGTATGTATTAAAAATTATAAGGCACTACTATTTTTAAAGCTTGTTATTAAATTATTATTTAGATAATTAACAATAAAAATTATTGACACACCTTCATTAGTTTTAAACAGATATAGAATTGATGACAAAAAAATGATATGATCTTTTTCGGTTAAATGTTTACTTTTAAAACAGCTATTCCAGTGCTCTTTGCAGACACAATTTGTAACTGTAGGAAATAGTACAATAGTAAATCTAAATGTTGTAGAACCTACAATATTAAATTAAAATGCATGTTACGAGTAGACGCAGTTTAGTTATCTATACATTCCAGTAACAATAACAAGTACATCACGTGCTTTAACAAGACATAATAATTAAAATTATCTTGTGACTCCAAACATTGATACTATTAATAATTCGAACTTGATAGATACTAGCGTAATTATTTTTATTTGTAATTTAAGTTATCTCGTTTTTTTCTGTGACCTAAAAAAGGTATTGTTTTAAAGAGAAGTATCTGTATGAATATAGAATATTGGCATTTTATTCGAAATATAAATATAACATATCACAAATGATATGTGAATTTAGTAATTTCTTAGGTATATCAATAATTATTTATAGATTCAGTAAGTACCATTGAACATAGATGTAATTTATATTGTGTGCCCAAGTTGTGCAATTATGTAGAGATATACGCGTTTTATTTTACTTATGTAATATTTAACTATGTCAGTATTCAATTGTTATTCATAAATAAAATATTTAATCGTCTCACAGCTGTTTTATTTAAGAAATTTGCTTTTATATGACAGTACAGTAACTTATGTGTTATTCCAGCAGTAGTAACGCGCTCACTTGGAAAACTAAGTGAAACTGATGTCAGTCCCATGTCTCGCACCTCTGATGTTCTCTTGTTTTGCTAATTTTCAACATGATTACCTTATTGCCTTACGGTGAAGGAAAATTCGTGAGGAAACCTGTATGTCTGAGACAACCTAGCAAGTTTTCGAAACACATGTGAAGTCCGCCATGCCGCACCTGGGCAAAACGTTGGTAATATAGAAGTTAGAACTGACATCTATGCGCCATCTCGTGAAAAACCAAAGGTTTTATGCTAATTTGAGCATTCTACCTGTGTAGGTACAATGCAAGAAAATATTTGGTATGTTGTATTGAACAGTTAGCTGTTTAATATTTGGTTTAATATTTCCCTGTAGACTTTAACAAAAAATTATAGATAATAACTAGCGGCTCACCCTCGCTTCGCTTGGGTTCACCTCTAGAAAAGCACAAACAGATCTATCCCACAGGAACCGTTCATTTTTCCGGGATAAAAATAAGTAACCTGTTGTTTGACCTGCATTATAAGGTATCAGCATGCCAATTTTTTCAATACAACATACATGCATACATACATACAAAAGGTAGGTACCCTAAATGTTGACTCGAGTAATAAGTTATCACTTCACCAAATTTCGTTGAAATTGGTACATTACCTTTCGCGTCAACGCACACACAAAAACAGACACACAGACAAACAGGCAATTTTTATAATAACTATTGTTTTGGGGTCTTTGTTGTGTACATAATACGTTACAAATAAACAAAAACATCTATCCCACGGGAAAAGTACATTTTTCCGGGATACACAGTTACCTATTTGTTATTCTGATGTATGAACTATATTATTGTAAAGTTTCATCAAAATCCAATCTGTGGTTTTTATGTATTAAGCTGTATAAGTTACTATAGTTTTTTGACTATCCCACGGAAACTCTTTAATTTTCCGGGATGAAAAGTAGCTGATTTGTTTTTGTCATGTATGAACTATATTATTGTAAAGTTTCATTAAAATCCAATCAGTAGTTTTTGTGTACTAAGCTGTATAAGTTGTTATAGTTTTTTAACTATCCCACGGGAACTCTTTAATTTTCCGGGATGAAAAGTATCTAAGATGTTGCCCGGGGATATAAGGTACCACCATGCAAAATTTCATTTAAATAGGTCCAATAGATCCGGAGATTAGCCCATACGAAGAGAAAAACAGATAAACAGCTCGCTCGGGTTCGTCCATACATACGAATATGTTATATTATCTCTTTAATCACTTGTCAAAATTATATGCAGTAAAAGGGAAAAGTCTTTTATTTTAAACATTTTAGACGATAAATTTACTTATTTTGATAAGAATTCATAATTGTTGATAATATGACCAATAAACATGACCTACCGATTTAAATGATTTTTTTAATATAAAAAACTACTTTTTGTGACTTAAATATAAAAGTTAGACATATGCTGTCGCTGACTTTTTTGTAGGCATTATTAAGCTCTACAACTTTTCTCTAGAATATAATCATATATCTCTCATCGTTAAGGCAGCGTTCGTAAGAAACGTTTTCGTTCGACCGTTTTTTCTCCGACTTACTTTGCAAATCCGACTACCACGAAAAAGCCTTTTTATTTTTCGGGTTAATATATAGCCTATGACACTCAGAAAGAACGTGGCTTTCTATTGGTAAAAGAATTTTGAAAATCGGTTCAGTAGATCCAGAGATTACCCCCTACAACGTCACAAACTCACAAACTTTACCTCTTTTATAATATTAGTATAGATTAGAATTATTTGCTTGGATATTGACTTGGAACCATCTGGAACCGGATGTGGCAATTGAACCGGCTAACTCCTGAATAGCTGTTTTCACTGGAAAATACACTCGACCTGACGAAGCTCACGCAAAACATCTGTCCATAGTAAATCTGATTGCAAACTAAATCGATACGCAAAAAACGTAGGTATTGAAAATATAGTTTCCATAGTGTCTGAGCGAACTTCTAAATATTTCCAAAACTTGACACTTTAGGTCACCACCAGATATTTGACCTCATTTTGGGATGTGTATGTGTATATATTTATTTGTTGCTTTATATTATTTAATCACTATCTATTTATGTGACCTTTAAGGCTATCTCAACGTAGAAATAAATGTAATGACAAAACTTCTCCAACAGTTTTGTTAAGATTCTTACACAGAACACAACAGTGTTTCAAAGACGCAATGGCAAAGGATCTAATTATATTAGCTTATTCTGGCGGACTGGATACTAGTTGTATTTTAAAATGGTATAAATTTTCTTAATGACATCTTTTTTTTATTTAAAATATATCAGCCATACTATCTTTATCATAACACCTTTTTAACTCTCTTGTTTAGGCTAATCCAAAAAAATTACGACGTCGTGTGCTATATTGCTGATATTGGTCAAAATGAAAATTTCGAAAAGGCAAGACAAAAAGCAAAACTTGTGGGTGCCATGGACGTGAGTAGTGCCCAAAAATATATTTTATATCTACATTAATTTTATTTATTATAGCATTAATAAAATAGATAATTTCTTAATTGTTTTTGGCAGGTAATAGTAGAAGATTTGCGCAAGGAGTTTGTTTCAAATTATATGATGCCTGGTATTCAAATGGGCTTAGTTTATGAAAGTCGTTATTATTTAGGTACTTCGTTGGCGCGACCATGCATTTCTGTTGGAATCGTAAATGCTGCTAAGAAATTGGGAGCTAAGTAAGTTTATTTACACTTCATAAAAGTTTTATTCAGTCGGTATATAAATTAATTGCATAAATCAGTAAAACATGTGAATATTAAAGTATATTCAAATTAATAATATCTTCTTCGCTTTCAGATATATTTCACATGGCGCTACTGGTAAAGGAAATGATCAAGTAAGATTTGAACTTAGCGTGTATTCGCTTTGGCCAGAGGGAAAAGTAAGTCATAGCTTGTACGAGTATAGCTCGTATGTCTTCAGTACAGTCATTTCCTTTATAATAAATATTATCTAAAATGCTCGCAGAACAGCTAAACTGTGAATTACAAGAATCATCATGATTATGATCCATTACGTCAAGGAATGCTGAAAGTTACGGATTCGATTCCCACATTGAATTAACTACTTTGCTGAAAATATTATAATAAATAAATTGTTAAAAATGCAGGGTTAGGTAATATTATTCAAGAAATTCGATTTATATAATTCCATTTTTTTTTTAAATAGATATCTAACGAGATAATTTATTATAGTGATAATTTACTTCGCCAATTTAATAGTTTTGGATACTGATGAAAAACAAACAGCACCTAAAATACTTGGTTACACTTGTTTACACTTGGTTTCCTCTGTTTTACCCTGCCAGGAAAAAGAAAGATGAACATTTACTATTAAAATATTGATTAAAGCCTTGATGGTAGTGAAATGTTATAAATAATATTTCCTATTTATATTTTGAACAGGTGATTGCACCGTGGCGTCTTCCTGAATTTTTTAACAGATTTCAAGGACGTAGCGACCTCATTGAGTATGCTAAACAAGAAAATATACCCGTTACTGCTACGCCCAAAGCTCCGTGGTCGACGGATGAAAATATAATGCACATAAGGTAAGTAAGTATATTATATAACTACTAATAATTATAAATAACAACTAATAAATAACATTTTACTTAATAATGAATTGTTAAATAACATTTAAAATTATTTTAAATAAGGATATCGATATCGTTATTCATGTTAACTTTAGTAATATACTAGCGAGTCACCCTCGCTTCGCTCAGGTTCGTCCTTAGGTATGTTTTGACGCTTAGTATGGAACCGATTTTTATTTTTTCAATTTCTTATTTCGTGAATTTTTCCGATGTTTCAATAGTTATTCTGCTATTTGGGGTGAAGACAAATCCAACAAAACAAAGATCATTAAAATCGCTCCAGCAGTTTTCGAGTAATAATAATAATAAATAATAATAATACTTTATTTCACAAAAATACATACATATTGTAGTTGAAAAGCATATTGAACAGTACATTTTGAAACAAACAATTTAGACTATCAATACAAATAATACGGTTGTCTCTGCTGCCGTACTAGGAGACCTGTATTACGGCATACAGTGCCAATCCCCCAAAATATTGTCAGAATTAAATTATCTGTTTAGTTTGCGAGTGTGCCATTTTGAGCTGTTGGTTGGTGCTATATGTATATATGTATGTGTCTGTGATGGGTGTGTGTGTTAATGTGTGTGTGTGCGTGAGTGTGTGTGCGTGTGTGAGAGAGAGAGAGTTTGTTGTGAATGGGTAGTGATTATATGAAAAAAAAAGTAGTTCTTATCTGGAGTAGATCAGCAGTGATTCTGTGTTCGAGTAATCCTGTTTTAGAAGCCAGTCTGTAAGTTTATGTTTTAGGTCGTAGGTATTTAAATCTATAATGTTTAATTTTTTATGAAGGTTTCTATAAATATGTACACTTAGGACAAAGAATTGGTTTTTAGCAAACGAGGTTCTGTGTTGCACATTTGGTGGAAGGTTTGTTCGTTTATTTGAATTTGATGGACCAACGTTCTTGTGTCTTCTCAGAGTCGACATGAGCACGAAGAGCTGTCGGACCGTCAATACGTTAGTTTCTGAATAGACTTGGGAAGTTGGGTATTTATAGGGTTTTCGCAAAATAACTTTAAGTACAGCTCTCTGTGCCCTCTCAACCCTAAGAAGACTTGCTTTACTTGCACCGCCCCAAGCAGCAATACAGTATCCAATGATCGATTGGCATAGAGCGAGGTAGGTCATTCTTAGAATCTCTAGGTTAGATGACTCCCTAAGTAGTTTAAAAGTGTGGATTAGTCGCATTATTCTAGTGACGAGAGCGTTTATATGAACATCCCACCTTAATCCATCATCAATTTGAACGCCTAAATACTTTACAGTGTCAGTTCTTGTAAGAGGGGCACAGGAACATTGTATTATCGGTGCGTCACATGTGTGGGCAATTATTGAGTATGAGTTTGGAGGTTTATTTCTGCGGCGAATAGTGAAAGGGATGTATGCAGTTTTGTTGATGTTTAGTGTCAGAAGATTTAGTTTCAACCATTTCATGATACTTTTGAGGGCATATTCAGCTTTTATCTTGACTTCTTCCCAGGTAGAACCTTTAACTATAATCGCAGTGTCATCAGCATATGCATAGATTTTACAGTTTGGGAGGGTCATTTTACAAAGGTCGTTTACATAAATTTGGAATAGAATGGGACCAAGTATACTCCCTTGAGGTACACCGTAATTAATAGTCCTTTCGTCGCTTAAGTAGGAATCAATTTTTACTACTTGCTTGCGATTGGTAAGATAATCTCTAAAAATATCCAAGGCCATACCACGGACTCCGAGGCGCTCAAGTTTCGTGATTAGCAAGGGAACAGAGACTGTGTCAAACGCCTTAGACAGATCTAGAAAAATACCAAGACATTTCTCTTTGTGGTCCATATTTTCAGCTATATATTGTGTTAGATCCAGTACAGCATCTTCAGTGGAGATACCAGGGCGAAAACCGTATTGGTTATCAGCTATAATTCTGAATCTGTCCAAATAGTCTCTTAGGCGCTTATTTAAAATTTTTTCAAGTAGTTTTGAGAGGGAGGAAAGTACTGATATCGGTCTATAGTTGCTGACACAGTCTCTGTTACCACTCTTGTAAATTGGATGTACAACAGCTCTCTTAAGGGCTTCTGGAAAAACTCCCAGTTGAAGGCAGTTGTTAAAAATGAATGTCAGCGGTGGTGTTAGTTGTTTACAACATAGTTTTAGAACCAAGGATGATATTCCATCCCAACCTGCGGCACAATCACTGCGTAATTGGAGAATGTATGATTCGACCTCGGACTCGTCTACAGCCATCAAGGCAAGAGAGTTAGGAAGCGAACACATGGGAGTAGGATCAAACTGTGCGGTTGTATCATTTAGGCCGGTTTCGTTAGCTGATTGGAGTTGGGATGCCAAATTTTGACCTATGTTACTGAAATATTTGGAAACCTCGTTAATAGACACTAGATAAGTGGTGTAACAAACCCGACTTTGTTTTATATTGATAAGATATTTATTATTTATTTATATGCGAGGCAATTCTGTATCTTTTTTTATAATAGATTTTCATAAAGTGACGTAGATTTTTCTAAATATGTAATTAGGCATAGATAAAAGAATAGAAAGAAAAAGCATGAATTTATATTACTTTTGGTAAAATAATGCTACTACGAGCTAATGAAATATACCATATTATGGTGATTGGTACGAACTACGAGATTTCTGTGTTATTATAATAATCCATTGAAAAGTTACATTTGGGGTTGCATTTGTCAGAGGACGCAATTTTATTTTTTAGATATCAAGGAGGGCTTAGTGTAAAGTTAAATCCAACTTTGTGGGGTTGTAACCCTTGTCCCACGGCCGCCGTCTTGGAAAAAGGGGTACAATTAACGTAGAATCAAAAATAACAAAGTTGTAAGCGAAAATCGATGAAAATTTGAGAAATATTTTTCTATTTGTCGTTATAACTTTTTTCTGGTCATTTTACAAAAAAACTATGTTGGACCATTTTTATAGAGGCGTTTTTAAGGAATAATTTTTATACTGAACTTTTTAAATTTTATTCATTAATAAAGGTTTTACAGAGCTGAGAAACGAATATACTATTCTTCAGTATTCATAACTATACATAAATATTAATGGTTCGCCGTAATTTACAATCATCTTTTCATTATTTTAATGATAATATTTTTAATTAATGATAATGCAATATTATTCTTAATTAATTATTAACTCTATTTTCCACCACCTACGAGGTGGAATCTGGAGACGCGTTTTTTTTACGTGGTATAATTACTTTGTCCTCGGTCTTTTTGATGGACCAGGCTGCGGCTCAGGATCTGGTTGACCTTCTATATCAAATACTTGAGGGAAAACCGGAGAAGGAAATGAACAGGTGGAGTTGCTGCAATGATGGAATGACCAATCGATGCGCACATTCTTTGCGCTGCATTTAGTGACTTGCGTTTTGATTAGCATATAATTCTGTATTCACAAATAAGTACATACACAAGTAAATACACATATCCTTTTCTATTTTTCTGTTTTTATTAAGACTTTTTGTTAACTTTTTTTCAGTATAAAAATTATTCCTTAAAAACGCCTCTATAAAAATGGTCTGAAATAGTTTTCTTTTGTAAAATGATAAAAAAAAATTATAATGGCAAATAGAAAAATGTTTCTCAAATTGTCATCGATTTTCGCTTATAACTTTGTTATTTTTGATTCTACGACTAAAAGTTGCATGACCAAAGTTGTAGAGAATTTTATTTGCAACCAAATATGGTATAACAATTTTTTTATGAGACCTATAGTTTGTCAGATAAACCATAAAAACCAAATGTACCCCTTTTTCCAAGATGGCGGCCGTGGGACAAGGGTTGCAACCTCACAAACTTGGATTTAACTTTACACTAATCCCCCCTTGATATCTAAAAAATAAAATTGCGTCCTCTGACAAATGCCCAAAAAAATGTAACATTTCAATGGACTATAACTTAATCATGTTATTTTTTAAGTTACGAGTCCGGAGTGCTAGAGGACCCCGCTGAAATCCCTCCCAGTGGAATATACAAAATGACACGAGATCTCCAACAAACCGATGATTACCCTTGTACTATTGATGTAACTTTCAAAAAGGGTCCGTGCCTATGTATTTTGAATGTTTTCAAAGTTATACAATTTCACATAACAGCCATTTTTAATTTAATTACTTCTTATAAATAAGCATTATTTATGTTAAGAAAAATATATTTTAGGTTTGCCTATTTCTGTTAAGATTCCAAGTGGACACGAAAAAGCCTTGATTCTTACTGACTCATTAGCTTTAGTCGAGACGCTTAACAAGTTGGGTGGACAGCATGGTATCGGTCGGATTGACATTGTGGAAAATCGCTTTCTAGGGCTGAAGGTAGGTTTCTAAGAAGACAAAAATGAAAATAACAACACTCTATAACACAAGCTTTTCAAACATTTAATAATTTGATAACAAACGGGTCTAATTAATTTTTATAATCAACTAGGTACGTTTTAATTTTTTTGAGCGGAAGCCTAATTCCTTTTCGAAAATAAAAGTGGCTTAAGGTACTCCTTATAACATCAGCTATGTGTCAGTGAAAGTCCCAATAAAATCGGTCCAGCCATTTTGAAGATTAGCCGTAAAACAAACAGACAGAAAGACACAACATTTTTAAAAATTGTGATTTTCTTATTTTTTCTTAAAAATAATAAAAGTATATAACTTCATATACATTTAGTAAAAAGCTGTTATTTTATAAACAGACACTTCAATTTTATTTATCTGTATAGATTATTAGTGTGGTTATAATTTTTTTTTAATTTTTATTTTAGTCAAGAGGACTTTACGAAACACCAGCTGGTACTATACTTCATGTCGCTCATCTTGACTTGGAAGCATATGCTCTTGATAAGGAAGTTTTAAGGTAAATTCAAAACATTGTATTAATATGCCTAAATAAGACTAATAGTAATTTTGATATATTGTATAAACATTTTGAATCTCGAAATTAATGATTTTTTTTTCATGTTATAGGCTTAAAAAATATCTGCAAGATAAAATGGCAGATTTTGTATACAATGGTTTTTGGTTTTCGCCTGAAGCTGTTTATACAAGAAAATGCTTAGAACTTTCTCAAGAATCTGTTAATGGAACAGTTACATTGCAATTATTCAAAGGAAATGGTATGTATACATATAATAAAATTCTGAGTCGACTCTGTACATTAAATATTTTTTGGAAAATCTTATTGAAATAGTCATTATTATCGCTACTGAAGCCGAATCTATAGTTTTTAGATTTTTTATCTGTCTGTCTATCTGTTACCACATCACAGAAAAACTACTGGAAGGATTTTTGATGAAATTTGGTATGGTGATAGCTGGTTATCCGGGTCGACATATAGGATACTTTTTAACGCGGGAGAATTTCTCATTTCTGAGAAAAAATACAAAAACTGCAATGTAAGAGTATACTAATATGTACAACCTAAGAATATTTGGTTTTTGGTCATCTGAACGCGGGCGGAGCCGCGGGCAATGCTAGTTTCATTTTATAATTTTGACAGTTACTTTATATACTAATACCATTATTTTGTTTCAACACTTTATTTAAAAGACAATGCAACCTTTTAAATGAATGAAAATATATCTATTTTGTATAATATTTTAAGAAACTTTATTTCTGTGCATGCTGTGTTTATTTGTAAGTAATCACTACATTTAGTTCCTAATTTTTAGTTCTATTTTTTTATATTGTGTGTATTATTGTAAGTGATTGTAAATAAACCTAATAAATAAATAAATAAATGAAGTAGCGAACTTGGTAAACAGTTTGATTTTATTAGGCGTTATTTTAAAATAAATAACTACTGTACAAGCTTACGTAGAGTGACTTGCAGGCCCCCTAGATCATATACATGTGTTCAACTTCTATATTTAGAGATTGGGAAAGAAAAAAAACTGCACTTTATATTCATAATCATGTTAGTTACCGTTTGCGCGCGATTTGATTACTTTATTGATCACCATATGAACATAGCTTTATTAGTAAAAAAGATATTTTTTTGGGACACATGTGTCCCTGTAGCCATCAAGAGGACTAAAATGACTTACTTATATTTATGATTATGGTAGATGAAGTTTCATCACTGGCGAAAGTAAAAAAATGATGCCCAAAGCCATTCTTCTTGCCATTATCAACACACTGATCGATACGAATGATTTTCTAAGATTTTTTGATCAAATTGAGCACAGCCTGCCTGCTGGAGACTAAAAAAATCTAATAAATATCACTCTTGTACAATTTGGCATTTCTCTATATTATTATGTGTATATTTTATATGAAGCACCGATTTTTCTTTGCAGTGATTGTATTGGCTAGAACAAGCGATAAAAGCTTATACAATAAGGACCTTGTATCAATGGATGTCGCTGGAGGCTTTTCGCCAGAAGATAGCACTGGATTTATAAATATTAATGCAGTCAGACTTAAAGAATATGCACGATTCAGTGCAGCTACAAAACTTTAAATTGATATTATGAAAATGAGTGACAAATAAAGTAATGAAAATATATAAAAAAATCTTATTAAACATATTTTAAATACGTAATAAATGTATGTGTGTATGTATGTGTATTAGTGTTTGTTTGCGTATATTAAGCATTCAGCCCTTTGTAACGTCCCATTGCTGGGTACAGGCCTTACAATACGAGGGGATTAGGTTATAGTGAATAGTCCACCAGGTTAATGAAAATGTGAGGGTCCGCGGACTTCACGTCTTTGATATGGACTTTTATTTGTCATCCATGTCATCCATGATATGGACGACAAATAAAGTCTTTGACAACTTGCTAGGTTCTCTCAGACCTGTGGGTTACCTCATAATATTTTCCTGATGTTCCATCCCACGAAACACAAATTAATGCTATGTTTTACCTTACATAGTTTTTAAGGTATAAAATATATATTATAATACCTACCTATAAATTAAGTAATTATGTACTGTACAATTTGTCAGTTAAAGTATACTGCAGATCATAGTGATCGCGACATCTGGCGGGAGAAATGGAAAAATTCTTCCACATTATTTGTCATGATACGTAGCGAAATTTACTCGTCAAATAAATTTAATTCAGCTTTAGAATTTAAAATGTCGTACTTAAGGAGAAGAATTTTGCCTTTCACAAAAATTACAGGCTTCCATACAAACATGACAAAGTTTATGTTTGTTGTTCCGTATTCACAGCTTCCATCTTCGAGCATTATCAAGCATGCTCGAAGGCTTCCATAATTATGTTATAGTCTATGGACCATTATACTTTATAGCACTGTCCACTGACCAAGAGTAAAAATGTTCCTTGCCACTGACTGCTGTCTGCTGAGTCTAACAAATGTGATTGTGAAATGACAATTCGAAACTGACAGTAGGTAATCTTGTTGTTCCTGGTCTGTGGTAACTGGTAATAAAAACTAATGAAATATTGTTGTGTGGTACAACTTCGTATTGTAAAGTATTTTCTGTTCTTCTGAATAGAATTACGATTGTATAAAATAAAACGTAAAACACTTGGAATTCTGTTCAAGCAATAACCAAAAATGCATCGTAATTTGCCCCAAAACAAAGAAGCTTTGCTTAAATCATACACAACAAGGCTTAAAGAAGATGTTAAAAGTATGCTGGAAAATTTTGAAGGTAGCATACCTTAAAGCATAGAGGATATTTTACTTCAATTTCTCAAATTCATTTCTTTGTTTACTAAAAGTGGACATATATTTCTTAAAAAAGAATATGTATCTATCAATATTGTTAATTTAAAGGTCGCATATTTAGTTGGTATTGATTCAGGATATTAAATTTAAAATTTTTGTATATAATTTATAATATTTATTTTAGAAATAATTAAGCTCGCTAAAGGTGAAAATGAATCTCAACTTAACAGGATGACCCAAATAGAACAAGACACATTTGAAATGCAAGTCCGGGCAGCAAATATAGGTACATAATAGATAATTGCATTAAAAATAACTATTAACTGTTTATAATATTTTGAATTTACTTTTTCTTTCAGTCAGAGCAGGGGAGTCTTTAATGAAGCTAGTATCAGATATTAAACAGTATTTAATCTTAAATGACTTTCCTTCTGTAAATGAAGCTATTACACAGAATTCAAAACTGTTTAGAACTAAACAACAAGAATGTGACCAAAAGCTCATGTCACTAAGGGATGATATAGCAGCCGATCTTTACGATTTAGAAGATGAATATTTTACTAGTATATATAAATAGAATATAGGATATAGATAAGGAAAATGTAATTTTTATTATTAAGTAAATTAATATTAATACTGATAATTTATTTTAATAAAGATTCCTTTCCAAACCCTACCAACAAAGACTCGTCGAGCATCCATATGAATTGGCAGTCCATCTCCAGGCGAAAAACTGTCCTAACTGCCTCAAATGACAAGATATACTGAAACTGCCAGAAAGAATGCAGTTTATATAGAAATAATACTAGTAGTGGTCTCAATGGAGTGCACACTCTGCGCCAAAACACGGAACATATCCATTTAAAGTTATTTATTGACTGCTTGTGGATTATAAATGCATCAAAAAAAAAAACTGATTAATTTAGCATTAAAAATAATATATAGATACAACTATAAAAAAAACATTACCTGTTATTAGCTGTAATTGTTCATTCAGAAGTTTTCTTTTTTTATTATTTAAAAATTTACAAACAATATCATTGTAACAGCATTTTTATTGAACAAAAAAATTTTGAACACTACACATTCGATGAACTACTGCAATTAATTTCTCCTATTTTGGATTAAATAAATAGTGTGGTCCCTCATGAGGATATTGTTTGGCTGTAACTGGTCTGCCAAACTTATGATCTTCCAAAAATAAGAATAAAAGTATGCTTCCTCCCATTGCTCCAAAAAACCAAGTCCATTGATGGAGTAAAGAAAATCTGGGTCTCATGCTTATATCATAACGATCTTCACCAATTATTTCAGTACTTGCATGCATCTGAAAAGAAATCACTTTTTAAATTATTACCCCTCAAATAAATGTATACTAAAAAAGTACAAAATGTTAAATAACAAACACATTCCTTTTTTTATCTATAATAATATTATAAAGAGGCAGAGTTTGTACGCACTAATCTCCGGAACTAGTAATCTATTTAAAAAAATCTTTTTGTATTAGATAGCTCTTTTATTGAGGAAAACTATAGGCTATATAATTATAATATAGTCTATTTATTCCGTACTAATGTTAAAACATACTTAGGGACGAACCCGAGCAAAGCAAAGGCCTGTTGCTTATCCATAGATAATAAAGTATACAAAGTGATTGATTCTTTATGGTGTTATTTTAAGCTCTGAAAGTGTCATCTATAACAATCTGTGTATGTATTTTTAAATACATGCTTGATTAAGCACTCTCCATAATTAATTAAGGTATAAAATGATAGAAGGCCTGTTAAAAAGTGATTCGGTATAATTAAAATTTCTTGAATTGAATGACTAATTTTACTCATGTTACTTATGAAGAGAGTTGGAAGTTAAGTATCAAGGGAACAGACTATGACAGATAATGTTTAAGTAGATTGTCATATATGTTCTTTATTTTCATGTACAAATAGAAGATAAATAAATAAAATATTAATTCATATCGTTACAAAATAAACTAGATTTTTTTTCTTTTTATATAGTCTTCTAAAATACTACAATATTTATGGTAAAATTCCATTCAATTAGAATTTACTAAAATTCAATGATACATAATTTGAAACAAATAAAAATCATAAACTTTCAAAGGCAACTTTTTGTATGACATAATTCATAATATAATTATTTATATATTAAAAAATTGAGAATACCAACTGGTTCATTAAAATTTCTTTTTAGGTCCGGTAAGTCGTAAGGATAGTAAGGATCTTTTGAGTCAGCACCAATGTCAGGTAGCTTAGGATAATCTCCATATCCCATATCTTCTGGATATGGTTGATATTCTTCGATAGTCAACCCATATTTTTTTGCGGCAGCTACCCGTTCTTCTTGAGTTTTAGGATACGGACCAGGCTTATATTGAAAGTTCCAATCTGAAACAATATGACGTAATGATCATAACAGTGAAAATAATCTTCAGGTTACTTGAAAATATACATATTTAGTAACTTACGGTTTCTTGCAGCATTACAAAATATTCCTATACTGTTACGAACTGAATTGGGGTTGGATATGAATGCCCTTTTTAACAGAGTCAAAGCCATCTTTTAGGACTGTAACCAAATTCATTAGCTAGTTGCTACCATAGCCCATACAGTTTGACAAATGTCATATTATGTCGACTGTCCTATAAAATAATAATAAAATGTGTATTTTTTGTTAAAATACCAATCTTAAATTAATATCTTCAGAATAGACTGACATTCACTGTAGTATTATTTTTGGAAATTAGTTGTAATAATTTTAATTTGAATGATAGCCGTACCCTGTATTCCAATTACAGAGCATAATACCGCACTTTGGCATACAAGGTCACGAACAACTCGAAAAAACACTTCTTAAATAGTCTGTCAAGAAAGAGTAGAAAATAATGGGGGCGCCACCATCGGGCGTTGGCCACACCATTTCCGGTATACTATAAAAGATTTTGATACTTTGATTAAATGCAGTTTTGAAAATGCACTTTACCTAGGCAATACCATACCAAAATTCATTTCATCAATTGTAGCTGCGATTTTATTCGCTAAAAGGGTAAATATAATATATATGAATAAGTCATACACATAAATCATAATAATTTATTTTATAAAAGAAATTCTTCATCTAGGTATTCTACTCCCTCGACTCCCATGTTTTCATGGCTACAGGCTGTAGCCTACAGCCGGCGGCCTCAAAATCAGTTCCTTCATTTAAGTCTCCTACTCGCTCCATGTTTTCTTCCTCGAACTGTAGATTCAGATTTTCCTGTTTAAATAATCCACAAAATAAGTACTTTCAAGTTTCATATTAATAATGTTGATTTAAAGCAAATGTAAAAATTATACTTTATTTGAAATAAGATTTAATTTAATATGTAATGAGTTTATGACCTACAGGTTACAATACAAACATGCGTTATGTATCAAATAATGTAAGTATCAAATAATTTATGCGGTCTATAACACAGCCTAAATGCGCTGTCATCGACGTTTGTAAACATAACCTAAGTGAAAAATGATTATTCTAAATATACCTATTATTAAGCTTGGTAGTGACCCATAATAGCTTTGGGTGGATGAATTATTATTTGATATAACACATTAAAACTCACAAATACCTGTCATTTCAGCGGTTCTTTAATAAACATTGTTCAGATCAGAAAGTATATTTTTGGCCTCATACTCCAAAAGACATCTTCTGTACACTCTATAAATTATTTCCCGAGCAGAACTTCGAATTGTTCTATTCATTTTTCTTACTTAAGACCAAATTTATCACGGTTTTTAGACTTTAATTTTTATGGAAACGAAATTGAAAGTTTTGTTTACGTAAAATTTCAGGATATGTCAATTTTGTCAGAATGTTGCCACTATAAAAAAAAATAGTTCCGTTTCTACACTTTCTTGACAGGCTATATTTTCGGTAGTTTTCTAATTATAGTACTAAAGCGCATCATGTGGCATAATGCTCAACTTCGAATTTATCACAATCGAACAATTATGTTATTATGTTGTAATTGGAAAACAGGGATAAATAATAATGCATGATGTGCATTTGGCGAAATGATCTGTGCTCAACTAACATATTTTATTTTAAAGCTAATTAGAAAATTGTATATTGAACACATCATATTCGTAAACGAATCAAATCTTTTTATAAAATCTAAAATATGAAGCATATCGAGTAAAGTATTTATAATTGAGTGCATTTTGCTGATAAAGTCATTATTTTATTATATTTGTATAGTTTTTTAATAAATATAGTTGGAATAAAAATTGTAGTACTTTTTGAACGATAGGTTGTCATCTGTCACCGTAAGTGGTAACACTTGCTGATTGTCAAATGTCAAAATTGAAAATACGATAGATCGACATGGATTTATTGACGGCTACGTAGATACCTACGGTGAGAATTATGTGATTAAAAAATAGTTAAAGTATTATAAACTATGTAATTAATCATTACATATCTCAAATACTAATAGAAATGATAAAAAGCAATCTGTAAATAATATTTTATATAATGGGGAACGAGACTTCTCATTTGAACGGCTTAGAAATAGAAGAAAAGGCTATTGAGACAACAGACTTCTGGTCACATTATCAGGCTACTATCAATGACAGCTGTAGATATTTCAGCTTAAAGAGTGATGGTTCCGTCTCTGTGTTTAAAGGAGAGTCAGTTTTAGGACCATTGTGGACTGTATGTACACCATTGGAGAAGTTTTCTAATGTAAGTGAATGTTGTTATGACATATGTGTACAATATATGTATGTGTACAGTATATTTTTAGTAATTCCGTTGAATAAAAAACCTCTTTATAATTATTTCAGAATCTATTAAAATATCGACATCCATGTATTGTAAGATATATTTCGTCTTGGCAACAAAGATCTACATTTCATTTAGCAACTGAGTATATTCAACCTTTGGCCCATGTCTTAGCATTGCAAACACCTTTGCAAATTTGTATAGGGCTTAATAATATTTTACAAGCTCTAGTTTTTCTACATGAACAGGTGAGATTTAGAACATCATAAAATTCTTCCATCTTAATCTAATTATATTTTCATTCAATAATGTTTTTTTCAGGCTGGTATGTCACACAACAATGTAGGTGTATCTTCTATATACATATCTGGTGATGGACAATGGAAGCTTGCTGGTTTACAGTATCTATGTATATTTACTGAACTCAATTCCACTTATTTGAAACAAGCAAGAATACACAGGTATGATGAAATTCGTGAAAAGTAGAAAATAAAATAAATCAATGAAGCTCTAATGTTTAATGTATTTTTATTTAAGATATGACAAAGCAATTGACCCCAATGAAGAATCATATGAAATTACTTCTAAAGTAGATCAGTATGCATTTGCAGTTTTGGTAGAAGATGTCTTCAAAGGTCATAGTGATGGTAAAAATTACATTAGTGAATTCTCACATATAATTGTTTATTTTTAATAAGCAACATTTGGATATTTTGTTTTTGATTTGTGAGGATGTATGGATGCCTGGATGTTTGTTACTCTTTCACACAAAAACTACTGAATGGATTTTAATGGAACTTTACTATAAGATAGCTCATACATCAAAATACTTACTAGACTACTTTTTATCTTGGAAAAATTTACAGTTCTGTGAGATAGATTTGTTTTTGTTCTTCTAGAGGTGAAAGAGTGAAGTAAGGGTGAACTGCTAGTAATATAATAAAGTTAAGATTTAAATAAAGGCAACTTTAATAATTTTGTACTTTATGGGTTAAAATTTGTTAATGGCATACTCATTTTGTACTTGCTCATGATTAATTGCCTTACAGATGAAGTTCCACACCTAAAAGAGTTCAAAAAGTACTGCAGAAATTGTTTGCAGAATCCAGATCCAAATAAAAGACCTATTTTGTCAGAAGTTCTAAGGGATAACTTTTTCAATCATGAATTCATATCTATATACAAATTTTTAAATTTTCTACCACTGAAAAGTGAAGATGAGAGAAGTGAATTTTTTGCAAGCATTTTAAACAATCTTAAATGTTTTGATGAAGAAACTATTGCTAAGCAGTTAGGAGGTCTCTTGTTATCAAGACTTACACTTCTTGATACAACAGCAAGAAAAGAGGTTTTACCATTTATTTTAAAACCAAAAAATGGTAATAGTAATTTAATTTCCTTAATTAAAAATATAGAATTATTATTTTTCCTAACAATTTAATTTGCATACATTTACAGACAGAATGCAAAATGGAGAATGTTCTGGATTTTTTCAACTTAGCACATTCAAAGAACATGTTAAACCAAGGCTTTTACAGTTGTTTGGAGTAAGAGATAGTCAAATACGAAAGTTGTTGCTTTATCACTTTACTAAATTTGTCCATGTTTTTACTCATGAAGAGCTTTCTCAACACATTCTGCCAGAGGTTAGTTTATAAATTTATCTATATTTAAAACGGCAAAGACAAAACAGTTCTGTAAACTTTTCTCTTGTCTTTTTTTTTATGTTTAGTAATTATTGACAAGCTTTAGTGTTATCAATAAAAAAAATTATAACAGTTTTTTATATATACCATATGTTAATATGTAAAGTCTATTCATATTATATGTTTCCCTTAAATTTTTAATAATTTTGATAGAATTTCAACCACTGGGTGCAGTTAAAATTAAATTTTAAAATAACAAAATGCTTATCATAATTCTTTTTCATTTCCAGTTACTACTTGGAATAAAGGATACAGATGATACTTTAGTAGCATCCACATTAATATGTCTTAGTGAGTTGGTGCCAATTTTAGGAGCAGATACTGTTGTAGGAGGCAAAAGATCAAAACTTTTTACAGACGGAAGACCAAAATCACAAGCAAATAATACAAAATCAAATGTAAGGCATGTCAATAGTGTATATACAGCAAATAAAGTACTTGAAGAATTTTACTGCTCAGAACCTGTACATCCTGATCATGAAAATACTCATACATATGAACAAGCAATCACATTGAAAGAAAGACCGTCACCTGTAGGAGGCGAATCCATAGACAATGAAGTTTATGTTGCTGGAAATTCACAAAAAAATAATGTTGATTCTGAAGATGACTGGGACGATTGGGATAATAATCCTAACAGACAATTGGGAACTGTAGATTTAGAACAAAGAGATGCCTATCATATAGATATGGCAATAGATACAGAATTTCCTAAATCATTGGTTAATATTATTATTAAAAATGAACAGCCACCAACAGTAAGATCAACATTACTGCAAAAAGCTGCTTTAGAAGCAAAAAAGAATATAGTAGATATTTCAGAATTAGACATAAAAAATCAAAAGGTAGATGCAACTAAAAAGAAAGACGATGTTGACTTCTTTGCTGATATGATGCCAGTTATTGAGAAACAGAAAATAGTAACTGTTGTAGAAACACAAAATTTTAATAAATTAGACTTTGTTCCTGCTGAAGCTGATGAGACTGAAGATTGGGGAGAAAACTGGAATGAGTGAAATTGTTAAATTATCAAACTTTTAGATGAAATATTTTGAAACCATTCTTATTCATTTTTGTTTTATATTTAACTGTATATAAGAAGAAGAAAAAATTTGACAATGTCAATACAAAATTTATTGTGTAATCTAAATTTATTTTAAAATATATCAAAAATAACATTAATAATTGAATTAATAGTATAAAAAATGTTTTAAAACACAACAAAATCGAAAGTGCATAATATTTAACACCATTCAGACAAAGAAAGACAATAGCATTCCCAAGGAGGGTTGACGTCAGGCAGGCGGCCGGTCGTAAAACTTTTGCCAAATCCTATCAGCAGTACACTGAAGATGTACTGCGCCGACCCCAAGTGATTTGGGAAATGGGCAGGGAGAAGATTTAACTGTATATATTATTGTGTAAATAAAAATATTTTTTTTTATACTGTATAAATCTACACATAATAAGACAAATCTATGAGGTAATGAATGAATTTGAATATATTGGTAACTTATTATAAAATGAGAGTATTAAGTTGAGTTTATCATTATGCATTAAACAACTTGCAAAATGGGTTCGTAAATATCTTTCGAAGGCTATTAAAACTACACAATTAGATTCAACAATGCTAAGATCAAAATTATAATATAGATAATATGACTTAGCCAAATAATTAATAATAAATTATGTATATCAGCAAAACATGCTTTTATTCACTTTAAATTGCATGGAATATTTCTTAAATATCTAATACAATAATATCAATAATAACAAATACAAGGGCTTGTCTACATTACTAGCTTTTCTTAAATAAATGCATTTTGGGAGTAAAAATATTAAACAACTAGCAAGTACATAGATGAAACAAACTTAATACTTTTGACTAGAAAACAAATAGACTAGACTTAATTTATTAAGATTTACAGTGCAGTACAAACTTAACAACATTTTAATATCTTTGGCAAAAACACATCTAATAATATTTTTCTATGATATGGAGCAAATAATATTCATGTCTAACCTATATATGTAATAAACATATTTAAATAGCAATTTTCTTCTGTTTCACTAGATCTTTAGAACTTTCATTAAAAACTTCAATCATTTGTTGACGCACCATATCTGAAAGAATCTCTAAGTCATCTCTTGTCATACCTTTGGTAGGTATAGGAGGCAAAGTAGTGATAACTACTTTTCCTAAAATGAAAAAAAAAAGTGTATTAAGACCTATTTGCAAATATATCTCTAATTTAAATCATAAATTCATCATGATTACCTGGTTCAAAAGTTTTCGATTCATTATCAAGAAAATAATACTGACTAAAAACAACTGGCATTATAGGAATCTGAGCATCAATAGCTAAATAAAATGCTCCTTTTTTGAAAGGCTGTATAACGCCTTTGTTAAAACGTGCTCCTTCAGGAAAAACCCACAGCTTAGTCTGAAAATATCCTTGTATTATTTTTTTTTAATTATTTATATTAATCCATATAAAAAATAACTAATACAGAGTAGGAACATTATTCATACATCACAAAATTTAATAACTTCAAATGTTCTTGCAACACTAAATATTCATGAATTCTAGCGCGAATTTCGAATAAAGAGTTCTCCTTTATTTTAATCCCCTTAAATTGCTTAAGGCTACATTTTTTTATTATTACCTTCTCTTGAACTACCCTAGCCGTAGCTTCTTTCATAAGTTGACGTGCTTTTTCTGTTTTTAAACGATCAATAAATACAAGACCTGATAGCCAAGCGCCAAAACCGAAAGCACCCGCAAACATTAGAGGTCTTTTGGCAACAACAGTGCATCTTTTCATGCGTGGCCACATTTCGAACATACCTAAAAGTACATAATAATTATAAATTTATACACGAAGTATATACATAAAAAATATATGTAATTAAATTTTACGAACCTAATATGTCTAATGAACTTTGATGATTTGAAATTACTATGTAACATTGTTCATTATCCCAATGTTCCAAACCTCGCAGCTCCCATTCTATTCCAACAATATGAGAAGCATAGCGACAAAACCGTGACGCTACTCTGAAAAATTCAAAAAATATTAAAAAATAATCAACTCAATAACACATGCCACCAAATAATCAATATCTTACATTAGATTCGTAACGTCGCGAGGATATAATAGGACTACGGGCAGTAATACTGTACATGTTATCAATACATAAGCATAATATAGAAAAAACTTCAAGTAATATCGAAAAACATTGCTTTTTTCGTATAAAAATGGCAAGGTAAATATAAAACCCGCCAAAAATAACTCAGGATATGAATAAGAGGAAGCCATAACGAACCATAGACAATAAGAGAATAATTAAATAAAGTAGTATTGCCACTTGCCATGTTCAGTGAGTAAGATGATCATAAAATTTAATTTTTACGACAAATCAAGTCTAACTATTACAAATTTCCAAAGTGAACTGTAAAATAAAAGCTTAGAAAAGATTTTACTATGCATTACAGTCATTTTATATTACAATGGCCAGTACTAAGTACATAAAATTTATAATTTATATTTAACTTATTATATTCGGTAACTCTTATATCTAAAAAATATACATGCATATGCTGCTTGTTCTAAACAACAAAACAAAAACAGCGTTTGGAGTTGGAGTGCCACATATTACAAAATGGTATAAGAATGATTTACGTTAATTAGCAGTGGTGGATTTACCAGCAGACTCACTAGGCTGGAGCCTAGGGCAGCAGATTTTAGGGGTGGCAAATATGGGGCCAAAAACATTTTTTTTTGTCTTACAGAAATTAAAAAGATTCATAGTTACCTAAAGTTTCATACCTAAATGTTATTAGGTCCACACAAACAATTCAACATGTACCATATGTTCACCACTAAGACAATTTTTTCAACAATTCGTTTATTATTCGTTCAAGAAATTATGGCTGGCAAAAATTTATGACTAAAATCAGGAAATTACATTACTATGTAAGTAGTATTAAGGCATACTTTATCCCGCCTTATTAGTAGTACCAGATTGAGCTTTTATTAGCTCAGAAGTATACCCAATAACTATTTCGCGTGCAATATTAACTAAGTTGTTGGATTGTAAAAATAATCTACGAACTGACACTTCTCTTCACTTTGCCTAGGGAAAATACACGGTTTAACTGACAAAAAAGTGAAATAGGGTTTTTTAATATCCATGTGAGTGACAGTTACATAGTTCAAAACTTTGTGATCCAGTGGAAAAACCATTAATAAAGGCAAGAAATCCTCCTCAATCATCAAATATGTATGTATATCTTTTATTTTGCTTGGATTATCGGTAGAATCCGAAGGTAGCACAAATTTCTAAATCTAAGTCAGAATCGCTGATCCTAATTCGTCTAGCAGCACTAAGACCAAAATACCTGAGTTTGTCGCTATTCAGATACAGTGATTATTTGGCATTATTTGTAATAATACATAATGTTAGGTTGAAATAACCTTTATTTTTAAAATTATTAGACAACATAAAAATAAAAGTAAAAATATTCACAGTACATTCACATTTACCAATATCGTTAACAAATATAACTGGCGAAGATTCACCGTAACTAAAAATCGCTGCCGAACTGTTCATGTTTTTTCTGTTTTTCAAAGAAGGGTTGATGTTGTTTTCGGGTTTTGTTGTACGTTAATTACTTACTGCTACAGATACAAAGAATAAGTCAGAACGACATTAAAATTTTATGTTATTTGAATTTAATTGTTGTGCATACAGATACAAAAATAACTAAAGGGTTAAAACAAAATTATTTCCAAAACGTTATTAACACTCATATAAAAGTAATTAGGGCTACATACAGGGGTAGGTGTTAGATTTTTTCAGTGTAATGTATAACTTTCAAAAATATGCCATTTCCTAGAATTTTGCAAACTATTAAAGTGTAATTTGAATATGCCGCCGTTTGCGCGGTAAGTGTTGGCAACCAAAAAAAGAATAATTATATGATAGGTGAGAGTTATTATAGAGTTAGTAAAATTAGAGCACTCCACAAAAAAACAACGTATTTTCATTGTTGGCCAATATTTTAATAATAGTGAAAGTTTGGCTTTTACTGTCCCTTACAATTTATGTTAGGAATATTGATTTAGCTTCGTCAACTGTAAGAAGAGTAATTGCATGAGACATTTTCTAGTTGTGCGCTCTCTTGTTTCAATGTTGACAAATTGGCTCCCTAGATCATGTCATTTAACACAATTAGATTTTTTCTACCGGATTATTTGAATTTAAGGTCTTTGTTAAGAAGACTATATCCACCCGTACATTGAAGGAGGAGATTAAACGCTGCATCAACGAAATTCGATCACATTTATGCAAAATCATGGCAAATTTTGACAAAACAGTGTTTGTCCCAGCAATAAACAGTGATTTCTAATTATTTTAAATCTTGCATGAATTTTGGGATAAACTATATCTTTATATATATAATTCTGCTGTGAGTGTGTATGTCACTGAACTTCTCTCAAACGACTGGACCGATTTTGATGAAATTTTTTGTGTGTGTTCAAGGGGATCTGGGAATGGTTTAGATTCACAATTTGAATAATAATTTTCATCAAAAAAATTATTAAAAAAAGTTTGAAATTTTCAAATTAAAGACGTGTAGACAGGACAACGTCTGTCGGGTCCGCTAGTATCTAATAATGTACTACAATTTCGTTGTAGAAATATGGATCTATCAGTATTATTAGGTTGATTATGCGTTATATTGGTATAATTTCGATTTCATCACGATATTTCGTTTTTTTTTAATCTTTTTTTTTCACATCATTTTCGATGTGAAATCTCTCTTCTCTAAAGTGTCTTCTTCAAATGCATACGCATTATTCTAACGTAAGAACCATGGATGACAATGGTAAGAACTAAATAAAAATTAAATTATTAAATTTGACACTGACATTTAATTTTTATGTATGGCGATATCGAGCATATGTATACTCTGTAGTCTGTCCTATAATTTTTACCTTTCTTTTTCGTAGGTTACTGCTGGAGTAACCGATTCGTCGGATTACGTTTATTTTATTAAAATGGTGAGCGTGATGGGTTAAAATATTAATAAAAGTGAATAGTGCTTATAGTGCCTTCCATAATCATGTACTTGTTTTCTTTATATTTGAGAAGATTAGTGCGATAAAATTAGATAGACTTTTGTTGTCGTGGTTTCAAAGAACATTCCGTTTTAAACTTTTCATGAAATATTATTTATTCATTAATGTACTTTTTCTTTTACGGAAACCTTTTATTTCTTTATACAAAAATATCACTATAGTTGTAATATGTAGCTTAATTTATATAAATAGTAGATAACCTTTAAAATGATGAGAGACCGACACATGCGCGTCATCTGATTTTGCCGAAGTTACAAATTTGATAGGCTTTACCATGTTTTATGTGTAATGCTATGTCAATTTGTATTCTAAAAGCAATAATTATGATTATAAAGTGTCTCTGATTTACTTGTTATTTCAATACAGCATTAATCTTAACTACAAATTATTTACATTTTAACTTTTTTCATTATAATTAGGGTTTCGTGAAGGTGGTCAAGAATAAGCAATACTTTAAACGGTATCAAGTCAAGTTTAAGAGGCGTCGTGAAGGAAAAACTGACTATTATGCACGAAAACGTCTAGTAGTGCAGGTAAACAATTTATATTTCAATAATATACTTATTTTTTTAAATATACTCATTTAATTCGCACTAATGCACTTATGTATTTGTTGTAGGACAAAAATAAGTACAATACACCTAAGTACCGCTTGATTGTTCGACTTTCAAACAAGGATGTGACCTGTCAAGTTGCCTACTCCCGTATTGAAGGGGATCATATTGTATGCGCGGCGTACTCCCATGAATTACCTCGTTACGGTATCAAGGTCTGTAGCAGATCTAAAATATAAATTATTTGTATATTACAAATATAAACTTTGAAATGATGATTTTGAACGGGCGGTCTGAAGCAAGGGACAAATGCAATCTCATGTTGTAATATGTTCAATTCTGATCAATTTATGGTTATACTTTAAAAGTAAGTTTTTTTTAGGACTGTTATACATAATGAGATTTTTTTTAGGTTGGTTTAACAAATTATGCAGCTGCATACTGCACTGGGCTGCTATTGGCTAGACGTCTTCTCCAGAGGTTAGGTCTAGACTCCTTGTATGCTGGTGCCACAGAAGTCACTGGTGATGAATACAATGTGGAACCAGTAGATAATGGGCCTGGTGCATTCAGGTAATATTTTAATAGACATTCATTTTAAAATTAGAGATTCATCACAATTCTATATCAATCAAATGATGATATATTACGGGCGGACAGACAGCACATCTAAAGGGACTGTGCGCTATGTTGCATTGTAATGTTCTGATTTATTCATATAGCTAGCCATAAACAAATATCATTTATCCAATACTCAAGTTTTTTTTTCTTTTTAGGTGTTACCTAGATGTTGGTCTTGCTCGTACTACCACTGGTGCCAGAGTATTCGGCGCAATGAAAGGTGCAGTAGATGGTGGTCTTAATGTTCCTCATTCCATCAAGAGATTCCCAGGCTATGATGCTGAAGCAAAGAAATTTAATGCTGAAGTTCATAGGTATGAAATTAGAATTATATTACTGAATTATTTAAAGGTGTGTATTCAAGCCCCACCTTATTAAAAACAATAATATTTTTGTCTGTTAATATGATAAATATGCATTCTAAAGATAAATATTTTAAAGATTTGACTTGTTTTGCATAAATTCTTCTATGCTCTCTTCATCCTTCGGTAAATAGAATGTCTATTAATCGAACAGCCTTTTGAGAGCTACATTATAAGTGTATGGCTTATGGTTGTTAAAAGAAATGTTTCTAATTTTTTTGAACCGGTCTTGCAGACACTATTTATTATGAGTGTGTGTTAACTTTAATAACACTAATTAGCAAATTTGTTCTATCATTACTTAGCTCAAGAAATATTTCATTTTATTCAAAATTATTTATAACACTATAAGTATGAATATAAAAAGAGTATAAAATCACTAACCAAAAACTATGGTTAATTAAAAAAATCAATAATTAAATATTTGAATTTTTCAGGTCTCACATATTTGGTCTTCATGTAGCAGAATACATGAGAAACCTTGAACAGGAAGATGAAGACTCATTCAAGAGGCAATTTAGCAAGTACATCAAGCTTGGTGTTGCTGCTGATTCTGTAAGTATTTTACATTGAAAGTTGTACGTCCAACCAAATTACTGCCTAGTATTATATTAGAGTAGTGTCGAAGCTGGACAAAAATAAAGCAAATTTTAATTGATTATCTTTTAAACAATTTTGTTTTAAAGATTTTTTTAATTTGTTACAAAATAGATAACCTATATCTTTAAAATTATACAATTTTGGCCTATAAAAATTATTAACATACATATTGGATTTAACAGATTGAAACCCTCTATAAGAAAGCCCATGAAGCAATTAGAGCAGATCCATCTCACAAAAAGAAAGAAGAAAAGAAGGATGCAGTAAAACAAAAACGCTGGAACAAACGCAAGCTGACGCTGGCTGAGAGGAAGAACAGGATCAAGCAGAAGAAGGAGTCGTTCATCAAGAGATTGCAAGCAGAAGCTTAGAGGCTGTCAACAATAAAAGCCTTGATAATATAAGACTGTATTATTTTACCACAAAATACATATTTTTAAGTACATTTTTTTATTTTTATAGAAACATCTTAAGACAGTTCATGTTTATTGATCCTACTGTGAATACTTTTTTTCTAAGTACAATTTTTTCATTAATTTGTGGGTCAAGAGCAACAATATAAATGAAAATAAATATGATTATTTACATATCCTGACTTAAAACAAAAACCGTGCAATTTTCAATGATATGTTCAACTCTTAGTACTAAAGTAGATAGGTATAGAATGCATTAGTATTGAATGAATTTCTTGAAAAAATCATTCTGAACATAAACGAAATATCCGGTCTTTACGGTGATATTGCTTGTGCGTTACTATGTATTAGTGACACCAATTTTGATCTAAATATCATCTTAAATAGAATAGCTTATTTTTACGAAAGTTCATAAATATTGATGAAAATCCGTTCAGTAGTTTTTGAGATTAGTCGAAACAAAAACATCTAATAATGTATTTTTAGAGATGGTAACTATCAATATCCGTTTTAAGATTGGTTGTCCTGTGTCCATGATATGGAGGGTCTCCTACCCTCCTTAGTCCATGACCATGTTCATAAGTTGATTATAGAGAACTTACTAGAGGTCTAGGGAAGTATTATGACCAAAAAGCTTTCAAAGGATGCTGATCTTTTACGTTAGAATTTGATATAATTGAGATAAAGCCATGTCCGAAATCACTAAAATAGTTTTATGTAACTACATGTTATATTAAAATAACAACAAACGGGATTCGATTAAAAGAGTACCTTAATAATTGTCAAGTCAAAATCTATATTAATTTAAAAGTCGCACTACAAGACTGATCAGAGATCAGATAAATAGCTCAACGATATTAAACGATTTAATAATCAATGTACCATATTGTCATCCAACCGTAACTATAGGTATAGACTATAGCTAACGGGTTTTTGAACGTTTTAGTGATTTAATTTACACATCACTTCACTATTTCGTTTATTTTGTAAACAATTGTCTTATGTCAATTCCTAATTCAATTCTTATTTCTTAATTTTAATTATCATCCATGATTCTTTAAATTGAGTTTTATATTTAATATTTATATTAAAATGGGTACTAACTCCAATTTAAAGTAAATAATATGTAATCCTTTACATATTTTTGATATTTTAACATAAAAATTTAAAATTGCGCATTTAGGTCTAAGTGTTAAAATATAGTTATTTTAAGTTTGTTTCAAGATCATGGATTTTTCAAATTACTCAACGCAAATAGAAATTACAAAGATTTGTCGTATATGCTTGCAAAAAGACCAAGACACCATAGATTTGTTTTCTGAAGACAAAAATGCAAAAGAAATATTAGATAAGATATATTTATGTTTCCAACTAACTTTAAGTTTTGATGAAGGGTTTCCTTCCGCTATATGTGTTAATTGCATAAATGAATTAAATATTGCCCATAATTTTCGTAAAAAATGTGAAACTTTTCATAATCGTTTTGATATTCTTATGCAACATAAAGTAATTGAAGTCAAATTAAACAATGCAATTGATAAATTCGAAAGTACTGAGAATTTTACAGGGTTTGAACATGAATATGAAGAGGTTGATGAAGTTCCAATTGGTAATGATGACATTTTATGTGCTGATATGTAAATTAACTTTAATTTATGAAATGTTATTACTCACATTTTTTTTACAGAAAGAAATTATGACTTAGAAAATATTTATAATAATGGCTTTATGTGTTCCATATGTAATAAGACTCTTAAATCAGGAGCTTCATTGCTTAAGCATCAAATTTCCATGCATCAGAAGAGGAAACATCATGGTAAAGTCTCTGGTTTTGGTATAGATCGTCGGTATCATTGCACTAAATGTTCATACAACACACCACATAGTCAAACTTTAGTTAATCATATGAGAAAACACAGTGGAGACCGTCCATTTCATTGTGAATGTGGCAAAAGCTTTACTCAGTCTGCTAGTTTGAATGCACATCGTAAAACACATAGTAATGCAACATACTTTACTTGTTCAATGTGTGGGAAGCAATTCAAGCATGCATTTTCTTTGAAAAAGCACTTAGATGTTCATGAAATAGGTAAGTTTAATTGCGACATATGTCAAAAGCAGCTGAAATCTAGGCAGACTTTGCAAGATCACATGTATCGCCATTATAATATACGAAACTATAATTGTGAAGATTGTGGCAAAACATTTGTGACATGTTCTGAATTACTTAATCACAAAAGGAAACATAACGTTATTAAAAGAGTAGAATGTCACCTCTGTGGATACAAAACACATACAAAAAAGAGCTTAATTATTCATTTGAAAAGGTAAGAATAAGAATATAATGAAATAATGTGAAATGACCTAAATGAATTTATACCAATTTTAATTTATTATGTATTTGCCTTATATTTTCAGACATACAGGAGATAAATCTTATAAGTGTGATATTTGTCATGTATCTTTTTTCACAAATGGTGATTTACAACGACATAAGCGAGTACACACAAAGGATAAACCATTTCCCTGCCCCGCTTGCACTCAGAGATTTACACACAGCACTAGTTTGAATAAACATATGAAATCAATGCATGGAATAGATTGCAAATGGGCGGATATTAAAATAAAAGACTCAAGTAAAGAAAGTATTATAATAAAAATAGTGAAAGATGTAAATAAATAAAAAAAAAACAACATTTTGTCAATTATTTATTTATTGGAAAAATGTCACTACTACATACATATAGATATAGAAATTTAATGTCTATAATTAAAAAATGGCTCTACCATAAATGTATCAATGTGAGAACTAAAATAATTTAAATTATAAAGTTGCTATTATTTAATATTTATCCTGAAAGTTTCTTTTATAATTAATAAATGTTGCTTATTCTACACTAATAATAAAAGATTCATCATTATTCATACTTCCATAATATCTTATTATAAGCCTATAGCCACACCAATCTTGCAAAGATTTAATTAATTGAAAACTTGATTATAAAATAACTATTCCTTTAAATTATATTTTCTTACAAAAGAGTAAGTTATATGAAAATTTAACATATTTCAAAGTTTGCTTTAACAGCATTTTCTAATTTTGTTTAACATGTGGACAGGAATAGGACCATTTTATGTAATTTTTAATGTTTTATAAAAATGTTAATCTAATCTTCTTCGTAGTCTTCATCATCATCAGAGATGTATTTGCGTTGTTTTCTTTTCCTAGACGGCGTGCTCTTGCTTTTGTTCTTCAATTTAATTTTCATCTTGACAGAGCGATTAGATTCTCCATCAGAGTCGACATCATCTAAAAAGTAGATATAAATTGCAATGACAGTATCTACAAAGATTCCCCTTATTTGTAAGGGCTTGTTAAATTTATTGGTTTTTCATTAACGCTTTATACAGTAAAACGTATCTAGTTATAATCTTATACAATAAAACCTTTGTGTAATGAATCCATTAACCAAATGGAATGGGGAATATGCATGTGATTTAAATAAAGGTGAAATATTTTTTTTTATAATCTTTATTGTTTTTGAATTAACCTTATATCAATATTAATTTATGGTTAATTTTTAATGTTATTTCTTTTGGATTAAGAAAATAATTATTAAAAAGTGCAAATATAGTTGGGAAATTCAAAGTAGTTAAAACGCACGCCATGGGTCGGACCAAATATGGCGTCAAAATATTATCATGTCAGAGCGATTAGCGATTTTATCGCTACAGATTGAGTCCATTTTTCTGTGTATAAATCATACTGTGCCGTTGGCGTGACGGCAAAATGGAGGGCGTTTACAGTATCCGTATCGGTATGATATATTTTTTTATACTAAATTTTAGTTTTGTGGAGCTGGATATTTTTTACAATTATATAAAGATGTTAGCTATTGCATAAAAAAATAAAAAAAGATCTGAAATATTCCCTATTGTGGATGGTTTTTTAGTATGATAAATGTATAATTAAATTACTACTGTTTAGATAACATGAGTGATAGCAAATATTTTTTTGCATCAGCTGGTCCAGTGGCTAGCATGTGTAGCCGCAGATCTGGGGGTTATGGGTTGACTCCCAAGGTTATTAAGTTTTTCAGAAATTTTCTTTTCAGAAATTCTCAGTAGCAGCCCTCAGGAGATTAGCCGTGTTGAAAGCCTCATCCCATCTTTCGTTGAGAGTGCCAACTTGGGTTTTCAAAGTATTTAGGATGTTTGCGTACATTTATGCACTATAACTACTGTGCACATGGCTAATCTGGTCGAGATTGACCGTCTTGGCCGAAATGGCTTAGTAGAACTTTATTAATATGAATATGTATATTAGTAAAAAAAAATAATCCATTGACTGGATATGGAAGTTGGCCATACTTGCTATAAAATTTAATACAATAATTACATAGTGTAATATTGTACACATATGCAGAATGCATATTTATAAAAGTAATTTGTTTAAATTTTTTACCTACCTTTATCGTTCTCATCCGAATCATCTGAATTCTGACCACTGTCATGGCGGCGCCTGATCTCTATGAAGACATTGCGGAGACGTACCGAGTCCGCGTATATGAGAGATGTCTCTTCGTTATAAGTTTGAGCGTTCGCGCATAACGTGAAGAAATCTCGTTCCATATCCGATATATCTGTGTACTGAAAATAACATTTTTTTTTTAAATATGCACTTATTTGACTTTTTTTTATGGAGAGAAAAATAAATATTCCATACCTTTCCATCTTCAATCCTATTCATGATCTTTTTAATGTCTAATGGTTTCTTGATAACATCGTAGTAATCCGGAAGTTCCCGTCGGGATGGCAGTTTCATGAATGGCTCGGATAAAACTCGGCCATTACTGTAGGCATAACAAAATAGATTTTACAAATTACCAAGTGTATCTGTTTTGACTATGTATTAACATACTGTAAACTATATTTTTTATGACTAAATTAAAAGGCTTGACTTGTTAGCTATTTTATACATAAAAAATTAAAAAAACGTGTGTGTGTACTTATGTACGCATGTAAGAAGTTATACTTCTTTAGCGTAACAGAACAAAAGCAGCTAAAGATATCATCTCATATGTCACAACTCGCTGTTTTCTAAAAGGAATGCAGCTAAATTCATCATAACGCTTTCAGCAACTTAATCATGTCGCGTTTTGGCTGCCGGTAGGGCCCGCATCCAAAAAAATTTACTCTCATCATTGTTTCCAAACATGTCAAAAGAAGTATAACTTCAATAAATAATGATTTAGTTTTAATAATAACTCACTCATCAGTGTAGTCTATAACTTTCTTCATAATGTTTTTTAATCGCTTTTTGAGTTGATTAATTTCCGTTTTGCTTTTCTTCTTTGAAGAACTAGGTATTTCATCTTCATCAGAGTCTTCTTGACGGCTACAATTAACCAACAAAATTATTATAAGATATACATAAAGATCATTAGAAGGAAAAAAAAACATTTTTATAAGTTTTCTAGAAGCATTACAAATGATTGTAACCTTGTTTCTAAACTCTAGCCACTCGCCTGGGATGCGCTAAGCGTTGTTTTAAGACATTTGAATGACATATAAGAACAAGTTTTAATAAATATTTTGGGGCATTAACACACAGCACTATCTGGTTCCATGGTAAGCTATGAAGCTTGTGTTATGGATACCAGATAGTTGATACACTACATATATAAACTTTAATTACAAACATATTATAAATATAAACACCCATGATTGGCATGTGTAAATGATTAAGATTGCAACTATACCGTCGTTTGCGTCCCCTCTTGCGTTTCTTATCCAACACCTCGTCATCATCGTCCTCCTCGTCCTCTTCCTCTTCGTCCTCGTCGATGGCCTTGAGCCACTCCTTTTCAGTGAGGGAGTCTGTGTAGTCCACCTCTTTGCGTTGTCGCGACCCGCGTCCCAGGGTCTCGTCTTCATCTAAGTAGTTCCAGCCTTGCCCCTGTCGTTAATAGGTATTGTCTTAATTATAATTAATTAATAATTATTATTACCTTTTAATGTGAGTGAAAAGAAATGCTATATAGAAAACAGAGTGTTCATTTCACATTATGTACCTGTTTTGCCAATATGGTCGCTTTATATGAAAAACTAGAGAATTAAAAAAAATGAAAATTTTATTGAGCCTAATTGATGTGTGATGTGAATTTGTAAAGTACATAATCAAACACAAAGTTTTTAAGGTTAATTAAGACCTAATTAGCACCATTTAAAAAAAACCACGCCATCACCATTTAAAACAAAATAGATATATATTTAAATATAAGGCAATTGATAAAATGAAACATAAAAATAATAATTATCCATAATTTTTTATAACTCGTGAAAACAACTGGCAGCTAATAAAAAGTAATAAATATAATAACATAAACCATAGACATGACAGAGAGTGTGAAGACTTTTATATTAATTGAAATCCGATTATCTATTATTTTTCTATCACACTGTGTTATAATTTTCATAAATTCAAATTGGAATAAAACACAGGTACTGGGCCATCCATAAATTACGTCACACGAATTTAATGATTATTTGAACCCTGCCCCCCTTCTTGTCACAGGTGGTCACATTTGTGGGGATCCCCCCCCCCCCTGGTATGACGTCACATATTTTGCAATTTTTGATATGTGACGTCACGAAGCATATGACTCCCTTAACTTTTGCCAAAATTACCTTATTGCAAACCACCTCGTCGTCGTCCTTGACGAGCCAGTCGGGTAGCTCGGACTCGTCGATGAGCCGCGTCGTCGTCTCCGTCTTCTTGCGCTCAATGTCGATCTGCTTGAATATCTCGAGCTCCTCCTCGGAGCGCGCGATCATCTCGTTGATCAGGTCGTCGTCTGGCACTTCGTTCTCTTCCTAAAAGTTGCCACATATATATTTTGTCGAGTTGTTTTAATTTTTTTTTTTAATTGAGTCTATTAATACCACAGACTTTTGTTTTTTTTTGTTTAAAAAAAAATAGGTTATAATCTATATTAAAATTATATTAAATTGAGAATTAAGGAGATTTAATTAAGGAGTATACAGAATGCCTGTTAGATGAGCTCTCATGGCTACTATTTGGAGCTTGTTATTGAGTTGAGACATACATATTGTGTTGTATATTATGTATAATATAATAAACCAGGTAAATCTTTACTGTTGTTATTAATAGTAGGTCTCAATGTTAATTAGATTCTGTGATAATACATAACAAGTTATAAAACATTGGTTTTTACACTATTTTTGTACACAATAAAAAAGTATCTGTCATAATTCTTAAGTAGTGTACTTACAAAGAACATCAAAATAAGTTAAAGAAATAAAATAAAAAAAGCGAATTACCTCTTCATCATCACCATCTTGATGGAGAATGCTCTGTAAGAACTGTTGTCGTTCTGAACCAGTGGACTTCTGGTCAAACATACCGGCTTGAATTACTTTTTCGTCCATGTTTAGTTTGTACCTAAACAGAAATGTATATTTCAATTTTTTTTTTATCTATACGCATGTATGTTTTTAATAGAAGTGGTAGTAGTATTCAGCTCTTTTTAACGTTCCTTTGCAGGGCACGGGCCTCCCTTCAATGCGAGGAGGTCCACCAAGTTGAACGACTTGGAAGACTTCACAGGTTTTTCGAGAACTTGCACGATTCTTTCAGACCTGCATGTGTCCTCTCAATGTTTTTCTTCACCATAACACAAGTGATAACAATAAAAATAGAAGCAGGCAGTAGGGCTATTTATAATCTATTTTCTATAAAACAAGAATATATTTAAATTCTAGAAACAATTGAAATATTTAAATAAATAATAAAGTACCTAGCTGCTGCTAAGATTCTCTCCTCAACAGAATTGACAGTCATGAGACGCAGCACGCGCACCTCATTGCGCTGTCCGATACGATGCGCGCGATCTTGGGCTTGGAGGTCCTGGCGGGAATAACGTATTGTTTAAATTTTCACTTTATTCATTTAAAAGTTTATATATGTGATACTAATAACGCAACGTAATGGCCGATTTATAAAAGTAAAATTACTTTATCTAAATAGACAGATCATAAAGTAACAGATTTAAGTTACAGATGATTCCAAAATAGTTATTCTATAAATTTTTATGGTAAAAAAAGAATAACACGCATGCTTATTGTGTTTTATTTGATTGTATCCCTCAATATACTTTTTGATTATATTTTAAATTAAAATTTAAAAAATGAATTATACAAAACATAAATAAACAAAATAAGACAGTATATTTTTATAATTACAGGACCACTTATGTGAGAAAATACTTTAATAGAGTTTTATCTTTACCTTAAAGGAAGCTGCACAAAGATTTCAGTAAACGAAGAATTAGATAAAATCAAACAGGTGTATCACTAGCACATGCCTGGTGTGGATTCCAATCGGAGTCGAATATGATGACGGTGTCGGCGCTCTGCAGGTTGAGGCCGAGGCCGCCGGCGCGCGTCGACAGCAGGAAGATGAAGTAGTCGGAGTCCACGTCGTTGAACTTCTTCAGCAGCTCGCCGCGGTCCTCCGCCTTCGTCATACCGTCCAGTCTACGTCAGACGCGTACGTCACGCATTATTATTGATTTAATATTGATTTTTTAACTCCCGACCGGGGCTGCCAGATTGTATAATTGGACACGAAAATTGTAAAATATGGTTATTCTATGTATATTTTGTTTTAAGTTATTACGTATTTTTATTGAAATTTTTTATTCGTCACAGCTTCGATCAACAATACTGCTAGATATCGAGTCGGCGTAAGAAATCCGTCTCGGTAAATATAAGCTCACTTGCTAAGTGAGTGTATATTTCGATTAGTTCTATTGAAACACTACATGCGTAAATACGTTCATAATGCCGCAATGTGTATTTAAAAGTTGCAAAAATAATGCGCGAAGAAGAAATTTTCGGACGAAGTACCTACATTTTTTTTCGTCGTACATGTAGATTAAGTCAATATTTTAAGATTTAACCTACGAAATAATATAAAAATAAAATTTTAAACAATTTTAATCCGCTAAGAACGTTTGACGAAATTCAAAGAAGCAAACAGAAACAAAACATAACAATTTAGCTCGCGCAACGGAAAAAAATGCTTTATGTGCTTCAATATAAGGTTGATTTTACAATAAATGTTATAAAATTTACGAAATGATCGTAAGTTTAAAGTGATAATTTGTGTGTTGATTAGGTTGAAAATAAATCTATTATAAGACTTTGTCTTGGTTCGTTAGTATACAAATGAAGCTATTAAGTGCATATTCGCGCGGACAGAATTTAGCTTTTATTTTGTATGCGACACGTTGTCTAGTATCTAGTATAGTTGATCGAAGCGTCACAGACTATTTTTCAACAGTTTTGTTGATTAGTATAATAAAATTTGATTTGGTATAATTCCAGTGGCCCAGCTGTATCTCTGGCTCTACTGGCAGCCCTGCTCTTGACGCACAAAGAGAGCAGCTATAAACTTAAAGTGTGTATCTTTGTTGGTGTCCATCTGCGGCATAGGAGATACCAAAACGACTCCAAGGAATCCAACATCATTATGATTGGTTTTATTAAAAGTTTTCAGTATTGAATAAATATCTTTCAACCCATTATTTAATCTAGAATCTTCCGTTTCGCTCAATTAAGGGAGATATAAAACAAATCATTTGATAACACTATAAACATTATTAGACAGAATAAACATTTTATAAGAAAATCAAGCTTTTTGTATTATTATAAATAAGTTACTGAAAAAAAGTCAAAGTCATTATGAATAATAATTACCTCAAGTACTGGAAACCTCTCCAAGAGAGATAATCTTCGATGATGGTCATACATTGCGTCATTTGACAGAACACTAGCACTCTGTGCCCAGTTCTTTTCAATTTCGGCAAGATGCGATCCAGAAGTTCGAATTTTCCGGACACACGGTATAGGTCGGGCCTAAAGGAACACGTCATATAAAATTATTTTAGTAGCTTATTAACTAGATATTACAATACAACTTTCTGTTGGAAACAAAAGTTTCATTAATTGCTCAATATTTGTTTTTTTTTGTAACTGTCACAAAAAGTTCATTCAGATATCTCTGATGTTTAACAATAGAATTAAAGTTGTAACTTATCCAATAGATAGAATCTAACCCTGTAACAACACCACCCCCGGTGCCGATGTGGTCGCAAAACTTCTCCTCGATGTGCTGGAACATGAAGGGGTGGTTGCAGAGCTTGCGCAGCTGCACGATGGTGTTCATTAAAGCCTTCGCGCCGCCCTTCCCCTTGTTGCCCTTCTCCGACCCGTCCGTTAGCAGCACGCCTTTGGACTGCATATGTCTGATGGGGAGAAGATGAAATATAGTGAAAATTGTGTAAATACTAATATTTAATTTATTACTAATTATAAATACTATTGTAATTTATTTTTATTTGACCAGCACAGGCTGGTAATACGGCTAATTAGTGCAATTTACTCTTGAGTGGATATGCAAATATGTATTAAGATTTAAAACTGATTTTTTTTATCAAAATAAAATATAGCCTCTTTCTGGAATAGTATAATATTTTATTAGTGAAAGAATTATTGGAACCGGTTCAGTAGTTCCAGAGATTACCTCTTACATACAAACAAAATTAACCTCTTATACTAGTATATATTGAACATATTTATTATGGTCATATTCTATTTTTTTATATAGCAACGCTCTTAGCATTTTAGGTAATTAGAATGACGTTATTATTTAACAGAAATCAATATAATACAAGAAAATTATAAAACAACAAACTTGTAAAGCACGCGCTGTAGGCCGCTCATGTCGCACTTGATGATGTACTCCACTTTGTCGGGCAACTGGCTCTCAACCTCCTTCTTGAGTCGCCGCAGTAAGAACGGACGCAGCACTTTGTGCAAACGACGGATGATGAGGATCGTTTCTTCTTCGTTCAACTCCACCTTAACATTGAATTATTAAGTATTATTATGAATAACATTAAAAAATAAACTAAAAATATTTGAGTATATGAGATGAAGACACATTGAATATTCTTTTTAAATTGCTACTCACTATGCATTTAAAATTATAAAAAAAATAGGCAGTCATGGGGACTACCAACGGAAGTGAAAACTCATAACTTTGGCTAAGTAATTAAAGCCTACCTATTAAATACATACCTAATCAAATATTTTCGGTGCCAGCCCATACAAAGCAAAGCACACCGACTTCGAAAATATTTGATTAAGTATGTATAGTAAATGAAATCTACCAATCAGTTATTTTTTACTTTTTAGTGCTTTAGTTTGAAGTCGGTTTTTTTTTGTCAAGAAGTTTTTATTTTTCCCTTTTTAGTGTAGACAGTAGTAGCAAAGTAAGAATTATTATAACGTGTTAGGCTTGTCAAATCAAACAAAATAAGCCCAAACTCAAAGTATCTACAGCTATATAGTCGTTGAAGAGTTCCACCTATCCACCTTCTGGCCTTACCATCAGATCAGGTCAACAATACCGAACCACTGTACTATCAACGGCAATAGAAACACTTGCAAAGTTTCAACTCAATATGACAATTAAAAGTAGGTTAAATTTATCATTAGCTATTTTTCCACCCTTAGGGGTGTTTTTTTTTTAAATTTAAATGGGAGCAATCTGGAAGTATACACTTTCAAACAAAACAAAAATTGTCCAAATCGGTTAATAAATGACGGAGTTCTGAGGTAACCAACATAAAAAAAAATACAGCCAAATTGAGAACCTCCTCCTTTTTGAGGAAGTCGGTTGAAAATGAGGAAAGTCATTTCTTTATTTAACAATAAACAAACCTTTTCACCAGTAGTAGCGAACGGAGCATTGAACCACTGCTCGAAGGTGGAACAGCTCTTGAATATGGAGGGCAGGAGGAAGTTGAGCAGCGCCCAGAGCTCGGGCAGCTTGTTCTGCAGCGGCGTGCCGGTGAGCAGCAGGCGGTGCGGCGCCACGTAGTGCGTGTTCAGCACCTGCGTCAGCTTGCAATGGTGGTTCTTCATGCGGTGGCCTTCGTCGATTATCATGTACTTCCATTGCACCTGGATTCAATTTATACGATTTATTGAAGTGTTATGGTGACATAAGTTAATTTAATCGTATTTTTATAATATGTAGCTGTTAAAGACACATGATAAAAGAAAGTGCCAAGTTCACAAACTGCGAAATAGAAAGATGAGCCATATTTATATCAGCCATGAGAAGGACTCCAAATATTTACATCTAAAATTATTTAACAGTATAGATGATGGTACCAACAATAATAAATTATGAGAACTTTATAGACCAGGGTCGAACTTACTTTCTGAGAAAATTTACAATAGTAATGTATATTTTTTTACACTATCAAAAAGCAGAGATTTCAACTAACAAAAAGCCCACCGACTTTTTTAAAAAAGCAGATATATTGACGCGAGAATTTTCGATTGAAAATTAGGGTGCTTTTTCGATATTAAGTTAAAATAAGGTGAAAAAATACATATTTAAAAAATTACAAAAAAATGACAGTATGTTTGGGACATAAAAAGGTAAGTTTTCACCAAATTTCGTGAAAAGATTTTTTTGTAAAAGATAAAAATAAAACCAAAAACTTGGTTGTTTGAATTTTTCACATAAATTTTGAGGTTATGTGAAAAAAGTGTAAATACAAAGGTTGTAGATCTTTTTATTTCCTACAAATTTGCCATTAACTTTTTTCCATAGAGTTTTGCCGGAAATCGAGATAAACCGTTTTTTACTCTATAAAACTCCCACTTCCCGACCTCAGATCGCCGTAAATTATTTTCCTTTCATTTTTGTTATATTCTCTTCCTTTTCAAATGGGTTTCATCCTACTATATTTTCTTTTTCACTTTTTACCATTTTCAAAGGCCCTGATCTATTAGGACAATGTCTTGTCATTATAGGACAGATATCATTACTCTTTGAAAATCAATAAAAACATAGTGCGATAATGAATATACGTAATAGGAATATAAAAAATAATTTAAACCATAAAATAAACAATAGAACTTACTTTAGCCAATACACCCTTGTCTTTAATAACATATTCGTAAGTAGTAAGAAGAACATTGAATTTAGTGGATCGCATTTGCGTCTGCACGAGGCGGCGCGACTGCGGTGAGCCTTTGTACGACACCACCTGCACTGTCGGCGCCCATTTCTCGAACTCCAAAACCCAATTGGACAATGTACTAAAATTAAACAGAATATAAGTTATAAAATATAATATTGATTCAGAAACTTTTAAAAATTCGATAAGTCACATAATCATATAATAAGAAACTAACTCAGAAATCTCTCAAGGACAGAAATAAAACAATCAAGAAAAAAAAACAAAATCACAATATTTAGACTTTTTACCCACTTACTGAAACAGTACAGCAGAAACAAGTTGCCACAGAAATCAGTCATTAAATACTCTCCTATATTGAAACAATAAAGTGAAAATATAATTTTTGACATACCTGAGTGGCACAATAATAAGGAATGGTCCATTCACTTTCTTCTTCTCCATCAGATAGGTCACCAATGCAATTGTCTGAATGGTCTTGCCGAGACCCATCTCGTCTGCCAGAATTCCATTGAGGTTGTTATTAAATAATGATACCAACCATTCCAAACCCTGAAATTAAAAAGCACACATATTTTATAACAATGAAAAATCTTTATATATACAACTAGATTTCATGAAAGTGCACCAATGTGTACAAACCTTTATTTGGTACTCTTTAAGATTTCCATTAACCAGGATGCTTGCTTGTTCCGTGACAGACTCGTGGACCGTGTGAGCAATGCTAAAATAAATACAAAAATAAGTATCTTGAAAATAATAATAAAAAATATAAAAATTAAAGTCCTTGTTAAGGCCACAGTATGTGGCTTCCTTTATTTTATGTATATTTTTAATATATTGGATTTTTTACCTATAATAAGTCTGTTCTTCAGTTTTATATTCATCATCTTCAACTTTAGCTTTCTTTATCATATCGCGCGCCTTTTCTTCGTCTGTCTTTTCTTTGTCACTCCTTTCATCCCTATGCCTATCCCTTCTGTCTCTTCTCTCTGCATCACAATAAATATTATTGTTGTGTATAAATATAACGATAATAATAATAAAAACTCTTTATTTCACACACAAAAATAATACAATAACAGGAAAGTGTACAAGAGGCGGCCTTATCGCTAAAACAGCGATTTCTTCCAGGCAACCTTTAGGCGTAGGAAATAGCAGTGAGAAGTGGAAAGGGTGTGAACAAATAACAGAGTTAAGAAAAATAAAAATGATAATATTATATACTTTTATTAAATATATAAATTAGTTGTACCTAAATAAAATAAATAATATGACAATAAATTTATATAAAATTAAATAAAAATGTCCGTTCAACCAAATAAATAAATACAATAAATATAATAAATACAAAAAAAAAACATGAAAGCCAAGCAGTATATTATATTGAAATCAGATTAAGATGCATATGATTATATTAAAATACTAACTTCTTGTCTCTCCATCGTCATCGTGACTATCATCACCAGAATCGTCAGAGTCAGAGAGAACTTCCCAACCAGGATGGGTGTCCATCCAGTCCTTGAGTTGAGAAAGTAATGGAGCCTCTTCTCCTTTCAAAACCTAAGCCACAATAAATAGCATAATACATATACAATTTGTTTAGTTTTTACAAAAAAAAAACGACTTCAGAACACTAAAAAGTAAACAATAACTAAATGGGATTGTTCATTTACTATAGATACTAATCAAATATTTTAGGTAATGAAAACTCCTATTTAATAATTTTTTTACCTTTTAGTGTTTTGAAGACAGTTTTTATTTTATTTTTTTTATTTTTCCATTTTTAGTGTAGACATCGTATAAGATAAAAGTGCCCAAATCACTTCAAGTGTGCCTATAACATTTAAAGAGTTCCCTCTATTTCTCCAGGATCCCATCATCAGATCTTAATCTCATGGGACCACCTGGGAAGTATACACTTTCAAACAAAAAAAAAAATTTTACAAAAAGGACCAGGCGTCTTCGAGTTACCGGGAAACATACATAAAAATCCTCCTTTTTTGAAGTCAGTTAAAAATTAGTTGTTATTTATCAGAAAAATTGTGCTTAATTTTCTTCATTAAATGTACAATCATGTTTATAAGTGATTTATTTCGCTTTTAGCAGGTATACATATTTAATTTTATCATGAAATGGGAATAAACAAATGTTTAGCATATAACAGCTCTACAATCTAATGCATTACCTCGCCCGTCTTCGGGTCCATGACGCTAACTCTGGAGTCAGATGTTTGCGAGCTGTCATCCAACGCATCGATTTCACCGCCTTCCAATACCTTCTTCTTTCGTGATTTCTGTAATGACATAAAATATAGTTATAATTTTTAGAAACCTCAATTAAAATTTGTTTTTCTGCTGCAAAATATGTATACAGTCTTTTCTAACGTCCCACAGCTGGACACGGACCACAACTAAGTTTGGTGCAAGGTGCAGAAATCTCTTAAATCTTAACAAAATGTTTTATTAAATACGACACTATAAATATATTTCTTTGCTAAGGAAAGAAATTACAAACCCTAACCCCAAACAAAAAATACATGAAAATACCCTCTTTCTGCGCTCCTCCTCCTGCTGCTTCTTGCGCTGTTCCTGCTTGTGCTGCTTCACCATCTCCGTAAGGCTCGCGATGTACTCGTCCGTCTGCGACAGGAGGAACGCCAGGCGTTTATCTTTCTTCTGATCGATGAGCTTCCTGTAGCCCTCCTCGTCCTCTGCCATAAGACTGCAAATATTTGTTGAGTATTAGTATAGTACAGAAAAACACGAAGTTTTCTATAAGTTATTTATAACATAAACTATGGATAAAATTTATATAATTATGTTTAAAATTTATGGCGATTCTTATACTGAACACCTTTTGGTACGTCTAGTATTTACAGACTCATACTTTGCGAGTTTTTATTTTAACTGGATTCACTTCGAAAGTTGTATCATAATCTGTTCAATAAATATTTTAAATAGAATGCACAAGTGATAACATACCGTCGCATACGCTCCTTTTCTATACGTTCTTGCTCCTTCTTCTGCTCGCGCTCCGCGTTAGCGTGGTAGTTCATGATCGCCTTGTTCATGCGCGACAGCTTCGCCACGTTGTTGCGGTGGTACTCCTTGAAGTCCTTGGCTGTTATACACATACAACATTTATATTAAATATTTGCAAAACAAACCTACTTAATCAATATTTAATATTTAAGTAAACTAACATTTAAAAAAAATTGTACTTTTATATTATAATGTTAATTTTAATTGTTTGTCAATTATTATGCAGAATAGTAAAAAACTTGATACCACTGTAATTAAAATACTGAGTTCTGAGATATAACGCAAATAACATATTACAATCTGTTCGATTACAAAATAGCTCTATAAACGTTTATTTTATGCTTTTAAACTAGCGATTCACCCTCGCTTTGCTCGTGTTCGTCCCTAGGTACGTTTTAAAGTTTAGTATGGAATAGTTAGGCTATATATTATATGATATAGAGCCTATAGCCTTCCTCAATAACCGGGCTATCATATTTTGCATTCAAAAAGAATTTTTCAAATCGGATTAGTAGTTCCTGAGATTAGCGCGTTCAAACAAGCAAACTCTGCATTTTATAGTATAAGTATAGATATAATATTTACCATGTTGCAACACAGTTTGCAGGAATTCCTGGTGCTTCTGCCTACGTTTCCTCTCGGCTTCCAATTTCTGCTGCTTCTCAAGCTTCTCGGTGGCGCGCGCTTCACGCAGACCTTGTCTCTTCGTGCGTTTGTACGCTTTGATGTTGACAGCAGTCTCGAGAGTCGTGTCTCGACGGACTTGGCCCAGTATCTAATGAAAATGTTTGTATTGTAAATCTATACAGATAAATAAAATTGAAGTGTCTGTTTATAATGTCAAAATAACATCTTTTTACTAAATGCATATGGAATTATATACGGTATTTATAAGAAAAAATCATTTTTTAAAATTTTTGTCTATCTGTCTGTCTGTTTGTTCCGGCTAATCTCCGAAACGGCTCGACCGATTTTTACGGGACTTTCACTAGCAAGTATGAGGGTTCCGCTCGATTGACGAATCCGAGCGAAGCGAGGGTGAGTCGCTAGTCTTAATATATAAAATTCCCGTCTTAGGATGTCGGTCCGCGATTATCCGATCTTAACGTATTATTTTTTAAAATGTGTGATTTGTTCCAACTTAAAAGATAGAATAGTTTTTATCCAGATTATTTCCCTTTTTTATAACAAAATTAACGATTTTCATATATGTGGCACAGCAACATGTGGCCTGGTCTGCTAATGTAATATAGTGTTCTTTTTTACTTAGCAAAAGACAACACACTAAATATTTACTTCAACTATACTACACTACTACTACACTATCACAGATCACATAATACTATTCTAGTGCAGCCCATCTTAGACCAATAAAATTAGACAGTGCTGATTCAAGCTATTTTTCAGGCTATTTTGTTTGCTTCAATAGATAATACATGTCGTTAATCCGCAAAGTTTCGTACTGCTTTATGTTTACTTAGAACTACCATTTTATGATTTTTTGTTAATTTTACACAAACTTCAACAACAAATCCATACATACCATCTATTGATATTTATTTCAGTTTTTTATATTCCGGTTGAGATCCCCATGTTCCAAATAAACAAATTATGCAAAAACATATACCTCTGACCGAAGTTGTTTCTGGAAATTGAGTACTCGAAGAGCTCGCAATTCTATCTGAGCCTGCAGACGGAGATCATCTGATATGTTGGCCGGCAAGTTGGACAGAACATCGATGCGATGAGCGATACGCGCTGCGATCCTAAAAAATAAACAAGAAAATACATTAATTAATGTAGAGCACGTGTATATTACGAAAAGCCTGTCTGTATTAAAAATATTCCTTTTTCTTAGTATACACTACTTTTCATAGTAGCCAATAAGTGTTATAATATAATTATGATTTTTAAATTATTTTTTACTAGCTAATAATTGGTATTTATATTGTAAATAAACTATTTTTTATCCCCCGCCTCTTTTGATTACGTCGACGTCATTATGTTTACAAATTAAATTAATACTTATATCACACCTGTTCTCCCTCTCGTTAAGTATTTGAAGTGGATCAATTCCAACAGGCTTGGGTATGGGAGTGATGCGGTTTTGTTTAGCTCCCGGTGTTGGCACTCCCGGCTGTAAGGAATTAAGTGTTCATTGTTTACAATTATATTTTACATTGGTCTATTGGTCCTCAATTATATGAGCCATATACAGACTTAACTATGAAAAATATACGATAAAAGCATTTACGGAGTCAGAACTTATAATTTGAAATCCTGTGATAAATATCTTCTCGATAGTAACCTGTACTCATACAATAAAATGAAGGTATTTTTTTTACTGGAACTGCCAGTACGATTTGTATAAAATATACATACATTTTATAGGATATTTATTAATTATAAATAAAAAAAATATTGACCTGTTGCGTGGGCGCACCGACCGGCGCGCCTGGGGCCGGTCCGCGCGGCACTGGACCACGAAGGGGCGGACCTCCACCCAACATTGGCTACAATAAAATTATAATTAAACAACTGGAATATTATTATAAATCAAATATTTTTATGTGTTTTATGTTCATTTATGCTGAAAAAGCTGGATGGATTTGGATGAAATTCAAAACAGACAGTATGAACGAAATTAGAGTAAGTCTAAGTCGCTAATAAGTATAATACACCTACGTCAATACAGGTTGTGCAGGCGGGAATAATAAGTTTATAGCTATCTTTTGCCAAACAAGTATCCTCACACAATCTGCTTATAGTTAAACTGATTGCAGATAATAAAACACAAAAAAATAGCCAGCTATTGAGATTTTGGGCTCGAATACTAAGTTCTGGTATATAATAATAATTATTCAGGTCAAGAAATTCGACGTAGCAGCACAGAGTTGGGAAGTTGGCAGTCCTGATACCTCACTGCGAGTAGCGCCGGATTTTACGAGTGAATTTGTGTCTCGCACAATAATATTAATGACTAGTCTCAATGCGACTGAAATTCCGTTTTAAGGAATTTTATTGTTATTCAGTGTATATGGTAAATTATCTCTACTTTCATATAAATGATACGAATTAAATAAAGATGCAAATGTGCAAAGTATGAGTCAGAATCGCCCACCTAAACTATTACACCGTTCAGTATATTAATAATAATGCCGTAAAATTTTTTAACATTAACTTTTTCGCTTCACATTAATTATGCTACGGATAGCGAATAAATAAAAATGAGGTATAATTAAATACTTTCGTTTTTAATAATAGGCAAGTAACGAACATACAAGAAATACCTACGGGATTAACCAATGGTGGTGTGGGCTGTGTGGGCGGCGCCATCTGGCCGGTCATAGGCAATGGGGTGGGGGGCGCGCCGCCGCCGCCGCGCGCTGCGTCGCCGCCCGCACCCGCCTTGCCACCCGACGCCGCGCCCTGCCCGCCGCCCTGAGCTTGCCTGACAACATGTATCTAATATTATAAACGTATGTGAAAGTTTGTTTGTGTGTATGTTTGTTACTCCTTCACTCTAAAATGGCTGGAAGCTATGATCTATAGTAATACATATGCTTACTGTGCAGTGTTGGATTTCGTAGTATAATTATACTATTTATACCATTATTTTATAGTGTGTAGTATGTAGTATCGTATTGCCACTATACTACGTAAAAATACCATAATTTTATCTTTAGGTCGACCGACTTGTATTATTGGTGAGTACTTTTACTTTTTAATATTAACTCTACAATCTCGGGAATTTCTAAACGTATGGCAACACCAAATCAGGCACTGACAAGGTAGGCTAGGCGGGGATTCCCCATGTGATGTTTTACTATTCCATCCGTTCTGACAAAAAGGATTTATAAATAAATGCGAGAGAGACGATATCATGTTCATAGCAATATTTTGACTAAGTACAAAACTTGACAACTTGAATTGTTGCAGTATAGATACATAATTATAAACTAGTACAATATTGTAGTATGTGACGTGTGTACATTATTGTTTCTTACGCTTTGACAATTTTGAGAATAAACTATTTTGTAATCACAATTTGTAAACATGAATGAAAGTGAGGGCGAACAAAAGTGCGGTGTTTCGACGCCAAAGAAGAAACGCGTTGAAAGAGGCGATTTAAAAGAGAAGGAAAAACATAGACAACAAAAATACAGAGTCGAATGGGAGAGTGATCCAAAATTTAGTAAGTGGCACTCGTGATCCTCAAGATAATTTCAAAGCACGATGTAAAGTATGTAATGTTTCAATGATGGCCGCAAAGCATGTTTTATCGACTCATTCTGAGGGGAAAAAATTATATTCGTCATCAAAATTGTATATTGAAAGTAGATTTGTTTTACAAATCTTTTTCCATTGTTTTTTTTTTCTCTCTTTTAATTTTAATACGTATACAAGTTTATTCAATACAAAAACGCCGTAAAACGAAACATGAAAAACATGAAACGTCAAACGTAGTATAATTTTGGACAAGTAGTATAATTTTATTCTCTATGTACAATATTTTTTTGAGGCTCTGGATCCAACCCTGTTACTGTGAGACACCTGGAGTTGAGACGCATTTGAGCGAAGCAAAGGTATACTGCGGATTCTTTGAACAGCTTTCCGTAGAAACGTGTATATCCTCTCGGAATGGATGCTAACCGAAATAAATGGAGATCTACCTCACATATTAGTCATGGTAATCACGACCTTTATATTTACCTATTTTAAAATCACATACCTACATACACTTCAACTCTTTTTACAAATATAGATATGTATATAGGGGTATTTCGTGTTGTTTATTCCAAATAATTAAATATATACGTATATGTTTTATTTTTATTTAGTATATAACTTACCCTTGACTGTAAGGCGAAGGTGGCTGCGCTGGAGGTGTAGGACATTCTGGTGGCGTATCGCCTGTACGTTTTCCAGCCGCCATAAGCGCTACCTGCTGTGTTATCGGCTGATTACGGGCTAAATTCCGGTAGGCCGCTATTTGCGCTCTAAATACAAATAATACAATATTAGATTAAGTAAAATATAATGAGCATAATATTTTGGTAGGAATATGACTTACTTTAATTGACTTAGTTGGCTGTTAGAAAATAGTCCTTTATTTGGATCTTGCGGGTTGGTGCGTGCCCGAATAGCCACAAGTTGGGAGTATCGGGGATCATCTTGTAATCCTTTTTCTTCCATAGAATCGATTGCCCGTTGCAAAGCATTCAGATTATCAGGGCCTGTCGCAGTTAGGGAGCTTTGCATTGGAGATGAAGATGGTGCTCCATTAGCGGACGTTGATGGAGGTGGACCCGAACCATGTGGGGGAGTTTGAGCTGCAGGAGGCTGTGGTGGTGGTCCAGGAGGGGCTTGGCCAGCGGGCGGCGTTGATGCTCCTCCGGGGGATGGTGCTGCGTGTGAGTAACCACCCTGCGATGGCATCATACCGTGGTGCGGTGGCATTGGAGGCATACCCTGCGGGTGAACACCGTGTGGAGGCGGGCCCGATATCGGCAAAGGTACGCCAGACGAACCAGGCGGACCCTGTGGTCCGTTTCCAGGCGTTGGAGGTCCGCCTGTCATTGCCATAGGACCCTGCAACAAAATTTCAATTAAAAAAATACAATTTGTTGAAAGTACTACTTTATCTATATTTTTTAATCATCTACATAATATGTAAACACTTGCTTGGATACATGCCTACTATAATAATTAAAACATGACCATATTGAAGATGATCACTTTAAATTTGTTTAATGTTATAATTTTATTTTTATTCCCAGTATTTACATTCGAAAATTTTGTTATTTACGAAGTAACTGCTTTTAATCCACATGAAAGAGAATTATTGTATTCTTTACATGTAAAAAAGTCATCAAACATTTTCATCAATGGTGTGTCAAATGAAGCTGCCTTACCAATGAAAGTTATCGTGGAGACAAATGCAGCTGAAGCATTTGAGGATAAACTTAATGCCTATGGCATACAATATATATCAGTTTCATTTAATTCTAAGTAAGAATATTTCTTTACACCTAATATAAATTTATATTTCTGCCTCATGTTTTTTTACACTTTAGTTATAAGTTTACTTCATTTAATAAAATCCAACCCATATTTTTAATTTTGTTATTAATGTCATTTTTACATTTAAAACCGATAAAGATTTATTTACATAAAAAAGAAAAAAAATCTGATCATTAATTTCAGAGGACAAATAAAATATCCGAAGGACCTTACTTCAACATTTAATATATCAAAAGATTTTTATAATTGGGAAAATATCTTAGCATGGATTAACACTCAAGAAAAAAGTGGGATATTTAAAAAAACAGTTATTGCTAAAACATTTGAAAGAAGAGATATATTTTTCCTTAAGCTATCAGAAGGTAAAATAAGACCAATAGTTTTTATACTTGGAGGAGAAGATGCATTAGATTGGATGTCTTCAGCAATTATTTTAAACTTACTTGAAGAATTTTTAGAAAAATCAGAATTAAGCACACTTCTACACATTTTTGATTTTTACCTTCTTCCAATTCTAAATCCTGATGGGTTTGTGTACACTAAGAAGCAGGTCTATTTATAACAAATTTACATATTATTTCATTGCATTCTAGTAGATTTTTTCTTTCATCTTAGAATTTAGTTATAGTATATATTATCTGAAGTGAGTACATCCTTCATCCATCTATGTTTTCACTGGATGAAAAGTATTTTGTACTGAATAATACAGACACATTACACAAATGTACCATACATCATGACATGCTGAAATGTACATGAAATATTTTTTGGAAAATCTTATTGAAATAGTCATTATTATGGATACGGAGGCTGAATCTAAAGGTTTTAGAATTGTTGCCTGTCTGTCTGTGAACGCATGGCGAGAAGACCACTGGACAGATTTTGATGAAATTTGGTATGATGATAGCTGGTTATCCAGGTCAACATATGGGATACTTTTTACTGCAGGAAAATATCTCATCTCTGAGAAATCTATACTAAAAAAAAAAACGTAAGGTATTTAGATAAAGTACCTGTAATTAAAAAATAATATTACACCTTTCAAAATTATACAGTAAATCTGTATATATACTCGTAGATTGATAAATACCAAATAAATCTAAATTATTTTGAATACTAATTAAAAGTACAATATTATGGGGAACATACAAAGCCAAATATTGCTTTCACACTATTTTTCTATTGACAAAAAGCTGCATCCAGTAAGACTATTTAAAAGTGAATAATTAAATCAGAACATATTTATCTACTTATTAGGATAGATTGTGGGTTAAAAATCGAAGAGAAATATTCCCAAGGAGAAAATGTGCAGATAGTAATTTTGCAGTAGGTGTAAACATTGCCAGAAATTGGTATTTACAAAAGTCCTACAAAAGTAAGTACTCTAATTTGTACTTATTGTCAAAAGATATTATGGGAATGTTCACATGGATTTAGTTTTAATAGATTAAAATATCTAAAAACATTTTATCAATGCATTTATTCAGTGGTAGATGGGGAGTGTAACTCGGTGTACATCGGTTCCAAAGCATTGTCTGAAGAGGAGACTAAATCTCTATCATATGTTTTAAATAGTCTTGCTCAGAATATGATAGCATTCATTAATATAAGAGGATTTGGAAGATTTATCACAGTTCCATATGAACACATGAATATCTATTCAAATATAAATTATGATATTGTAGTAAGTATTAAATAATATATCTAAAAGGTTCAATATTCTAAAAACATTCGATGGAATATGGGTTTGTGCTGGGCTTTTCTAAATGATGAATATTGAAGCATCTTAATATTTTCTATCTCGTTAATATAACAAAATACAATCTTTTTTTTTCTTATTGAGTCACACTAAAATATGCTTTTTATTATTTTTCTTATTTTTACAATGTACTTAAAAGCTTAAGAGCAAAATTATAGTTTAAATTTTTATTTGATTATATTTTATATTTTTCAATAATTTCACCAATAAACTTTTTATAAACAAATTTATACAAAAAAAAAACTTTCAGATGGAAATACTTAAATCTACTTCCTATAAGGTACATGAGAAGCACAATGTTAGTAGATACTATGTAGCAGCAACCTCTTCAATATTTTGTAAGTGTAATTCGTCGTTTAGAATTTTGACATTATTTTTCATTCATTCTCTATAGAAATAATGACATAAAGAGCAACTCTAAGCACTGATAAACTGAAATTTCAATCTACAAAATATTATTACAAAGAAATTAAGATATTTTTCTTCAATAATTACAAAACCTAGGAAATATTCTTATTTGTGATTTAGCATTTACATAATGATATTGTTTGTAAACCTTGTATTTCAGATAATTTTTCTGGTAACATAGCAGATTGGGTTAAATTTAAATTAAATATACCCCTTGTGTATACTATTTATTTAGAAAGAATAGAAACTGTACTTCCTTTACCTCAACATATAGAGCTACTTAAGAGAGAGTTTTTCACAATTTTGAATGAGTCGCTGTTGCTAGCAAATGATATATATGGGCCATTATTCAATAACCAAAGAATGATTACATTTATTACTTCTTTTCCTATAAACACAATGTGCTTGTTGTTTCATATGATATTTAAGTAAGTAATATTGTCCAGCCATTCTTAAGTAACTGTTAAAAGACAATATTCATTAATGTCATTGTTGTTAGAAAACATTTTTAAATTGATAAAATTTATATAACATATCATGTCTTGTCAATATAATTTAAAATATATATGTAATTACCTGATTTTGGGGCATATGTCCAATTTGATGTTGCATATATCCATGAGGAGGTCCCTGTCCAGGTAAATTTGAATGCTGTGGGTTGTTGGGCATATTGGAATGACCATTAGGTCCAGATGAATGAGAACCAGTAGCACTCATTGGATGACCTGGTGGTCCTGGCATATGTGGTCCAACCATATGAGGTGGCATTTGATGACCACTAGGTGGCATTCCTGGATGCTGCTGTGGTACTCCTGGCGGTCCGTTAGTATTCGAAGCCATTGTATGAGGTGGACCCGTAGGCGGCATATGATTTTGCATTGGTGGTTGTCCAGAACCAGAGGAATGTGATGGAGGTGGTCCATTCACATGCTGTTGATTGTAAGGGCTATGTGGTGACTGTGGCGGAGCCGGACTTTGTGTCGGGGGTCCCATAGGGCTAGGGGCTTGAGGCGGAGGCATTGGGCTACTCTGTGGGGACGGACTTGCCATCTTGTCGAAATGTATTAGTTAAAACATGTCCCAAATAATCATAGAAAAACTATTCACTATAGTACACATACAACCACAATTCACTTATGACGGAATTTTATCGCGTCATCCAATAATTACCGTACAGATCGCATAAAGCTACATACTTTTAATGATTAGTAATAACTAATAATAATTATTCAATTCTTACTGAATTAACTAAAGGAAATGCCTCACAAATACTAGCAGATTAAACCAATAAACCAAAGACTAAATAATTTACGCTTAGGAACAATAAATTCACAGATTATGAGGACTTAACAATAAATTCATAATCTTCATCTGTGCAAGTAGAAACCATGGTGACAATTAAAAGTAGAAAGTAGAAACCACAAACTCTATAAAGATGCTACGGTAAAAAGTTTTTTGGTTTCATGGATGCACTGCATGGATGACAGATAAAAATAGAAACATTTATCCCTAATTTATTAATAAATCCATTCCAGAATTTTTACATTGAGGAAAAATTTTGCCTTTTTTTCATTATGATCATGAATGATCATTGCACTATGATCATCAGTATATTGTAGAGTTAGAAAAAGTTAATGTTTGAAATATTTGAAATTAGATATTGTCCTTATTGGCTTACTAATGAGGATCAGTACAGTTATAGCATATTCCATAGAACTAGTATCCACGTTATTTCATAAGACATAAGAATGATATATCTTTTTGATTCAAAATCGGACCATATCTTACGAAGATATTAAGTAATAAACATTACGCCGTTCCTGCCGGCAAAATCCATGTACGCCGGTGCGTGTGACGTCACTGTGACGGAACGAACGTAGCCGGCCCACCGCCCGGGCCTCTGACTTCACAATTCGACGGGGAGCGCGCGACGCGATTAGCTACTATATTTAGTAATTACTTAATTAGTGTTTTTTCAAGTGTGTTTTTGATATTTAAATATATTTAGGAAGTATCTACATCTATACGTATAATAAAATTCTAAGTCGAATCTGTACATTAAATATTTTTTAGAAAATCTTATTGGTAAATAGACATTATTATCGATGCAGAGGCCGAAACTATAGTTTTTACAATTTTTGTCTGTCTGTCTGTTACCGGATCACAGAAAAACTACTGGAGGGAATTTGATGCTTAGTATGGTCATAGCTGGTTATCAACATATAGGATACTTTTTACAGCGAGAAAATATCTCATTTCTGAGCATTGCCCGCGTTCAGATGATCAGAAACCAAATGAAATAGCGCTATTGTTATTTTTTTTCAAGATAAGTTATTTTTAAAAGTGTTTACCTTATTTAGCATGTAAGTTATCTTGCTGAAATATATATAGTATCATCGTGGTTTTATTCTAACCAGTTTTTGTATTTTTCTCAGAAATGAGATGTTTTTCCCCAAGTAAAAAGTATCCTATATGTTGACCGGGATAACCAGCTATCATCATACCAAATGTCATCAAAATCCGTCCAGTGGTTTTTCCGTGATGCGGTAACAGACAGACAGACAGACATACATACATACAAACATACATACATATAGACGGACGGACAGACACAGACACAGGCACAGACACAGACAGTCAGGCAGAGACAGACAGACACACACAGACAGACAGACAGACAGACAAAAATTCTAAAAACTATAGATTCGGCCTCTGTATCGATAATAATGTCTATTTCAATAAGATTTTCCAAAAAATATTTCATGTACAGATTCGGCTTAGTTACAATTTTATTATATGTATAGATATCTACTCGTACTAAATAATAAGTATAGTTATGTAGTTACGTACATCAAAATGATCTTCACAGCAATGTCTTGTAGCCTGGGCAGAAGGTGGAGTTTTATCATCTCTTTTTACAACGGAAAAACATTTTTTACGAAGTTTTGGGTCCTTCGGTACGTTAAAAACAGTTTTTCTGGAGTTTTAAAAGTAGTGTTTGTACATTTCAGCACTATACAATATTTGTACATAATTAAAAAGGTGAATTAGACACGAATCGGACACTTAATTTGTTTCAAAGTCATTAAAACACTGCGCGCCTTATTGCTGCCAGCGGCTTACTGGCGGCGTCCGTCACTATGACGTCACAGCTATCGCGGCGGCCACGCGGTGAACTTCGCTAGTAATTTCTTCATAACTTTGTCAATTTTTGTCGTAGAACAAAAATTTTTGCACTGTGTGTTAAGGATTTCTTAGCTCTATAAATCTGCATTCTCAACTAAAAACGTTACGGATCCTCATTCTTTAACAATTAAGCCACTCGTGACTGGACTCGAAAAAGTCCTATTATGACAACCATAAAAAAAGCAATTTCTGGCAATAGGGAAGATTTCTCGAAAGGAAGGCCACACGTATTGGCTATTTACATTCAATCTCAGGTTAAGCAATTTAATGTGATATCTCTTTTATACCTGGTTTTTTTGCTTCTGTTGTGTTCGTATCTTCCCTGTGCAATGTATTATACCTATAAGTTAGAGTAGCTGAAGAAAGAATTGAGAAGAAGAGATGCATCCTGCGGTGGTCCTGACTGACTGATGGATCAACGCATTTTTTTTTTTTTTTTTTTTAACGTTGGGAAATGCATTTACGCACGAAGTGTGGGACTCACCGGCGAAGCCAGTACTACCCACTAAAACCCAACAAAAAACCTTCCCCCGTCTTAATGGGGCGTCGCAGGATCGCTTACGCATTCAACTACGACGCCCCGACGGCAGGTCTGCCGAAGCAGACCACAACAACCATGGGGTTGCTCCACGGTCCACTCTGCTATCAGAGAAGTACCAGGAGCAACCCGCATGGTATACCACCCTCCGAAGAAGGCCGCCTCCCACCGCCCACCGAAGCGGGCCACCTCCCTGTGCGTTTCTTGGCTTCGTGAGTACACTACTGAGCCCCCCCACCACGACAAGGTGAACGCACGTTGGGGGGGAAACGCATAGGCTAACCGCTGGTCGTAGAAACATGAAATTTGGAGGACGGATTCCTTATATGATTTAGTCATTCGATAATTGATTGTTATTGTGACGATTGTGACTTCGCCAATTTTGGTCATCTTGTTGCTTTAGCCCACAATTTCTTCAGTTTATGTCTTTTGGAACAAATCATATCCATTTTTCTTGCATCCTGGCATTGATTGCACAATTTGTCATTTTAATTAAATTTTAAATAAAATGAAAAAAAAAATCCATTTACGCTATATATATAGCTTTACAATATAGTGATCGCGATATCTGGTGGGAGAAAAAGGCAAAATTCTTCCTCATTACAGCACTAAAGCGCCTTATACGGCATAATGCTCAACTTCGATTTTTTTAACTACAGCAACGCTCCGCACAATTGAGCACTTTGAAAGCGAACCGCGCTGCTTTTTTTACACACAATGGATAAAAAAAATAATAATTCGTGTTTTTTCGCGTTGTTTTTGTGGTTTTGCGCCAAAAAGCGCTTTGAGATTACGATATGCTCAACGCCGAAGATTAGACCCCCAACAATACATAAGGCTTGCTGTAAGTATAGAGGAAACCAAGTCAAACTATCTACTTTTATTTGTACACCTATTATATAAATTGTTTACGTTGCTATCGAAAACAGTTATTAGGAAAAAAATTATCTCCACCAATAGATGCAACTACGTACTGCGTTCCTGAAAAGTGGAAACTTTAATCTGTAAGCATTATCTCTTTAGTCTGTGCTCTTGTTAGGGTTATACTTTTTCTCAAGTGTCAAATTTCAATACTCAACAAACTACTGTTGGTGTTGTCAATCATTAACAAATAACGAACCTCTTTGTAGGTAACGATTTTTGAACGCTATAAACTTATCATAGATTTGCTATGTATTGTTTTTAAATATTAACAGTTTATATTACAATATTAACAACAAAATTATAACTCATGTCAGTAGCGAGCTCTATTATATGTGAAAGTATGAAACATCTTTATAAATAAGTACATATCACGCCTGTGTGTTAGCCGGTGTGTGATTAAGATGGACGAAGATGAGGAATACATTGAAGACACTTGGACATACATTACTTTGTGTGGTGAACCGACCTTATATGAAGGACTTAGATTTGCGAAAGATTTGATTTTAGCAAATTTGTGTCTACGTATGATAATACAGTATGTGCCTATGCCTCATAATGTACGACATAGTTTATCTCTTGTAATAGGAAGTTTTCTTCTTTACTACAACATTGGTTGGGCTTTCGTTTGGCTTTTAGGACTGACCATCGGTGCCTATATTTTTACGATATCTATATCTATATTCACAAAAAAATGGAGAGGTTTATTTATTTCATTTTGTGTTATAACATTTTTATTATTATGTGAAGTATATTTTATAAACCCAAAAATGTGGCAGCAAATAAGAGGTATACAAATGATAGCAGCAATGAAAATAATATCTGTTGCAATAGAATTAGACAGAGACTTATTTAAACAAATTTTAAATCCTGTTGAATTTGGTGGATATTTACTTTGTCCTGCTAATTGTATTTTAGGACCATGGATATCTTTTCACACATATAATCAATACCTTCATGTTAAATTTTTGTCAAGAAGGTGGGTTAAAATAATTTTGTGTAATCTCATTATTTCTATGTTGTATTTAGTTTTATCTAACTGTATTGTGCCTTGGTATATTGATGATGCTGTTTCAAAATGGCTGGTTGCATATCGTGATGCTCAAGCTTTTAGAATGTCTCATTACTTTGTCTCAAGCTTGTCAATTGTATCAATGACAAGTGCTGGTTTTGGATTAACTAATGATTGCCACTCTGAAGTACAAGTGACAAAACCACTTAATATAGAGTTACCAAGATCACTTGTCCAAGTTGTTATTTTTTGGAATATACCAATGCATCAATGGTTGAAAAATTATGTGTTCAAAACATGTCAACCTTATGGTCAATTTATTTCCATACTTACAACTTATGCAGTGTCTTCTTTACTTCATGGTTTTAATTTCCAATTCTCTGCAGTGTTGTT